TTCACTCACATTAGTTGTGGAATTTACCATGCTAATCTTATTCTATCCTCGAGTTACTGAGACGAGTCTCAAAGTGAAATTGTTTCCTATTGAGTGCCCCGAAATTCAGCGTTTGGATTCAATTAAAAATTATATTATGGAGAGCGCAGAATTTGTGACAACGATCGATCTTCATTAGGCCCCCATTTTAGATATTGACGTCGCACCAAAAATTTCGATTTCAAAATGATTTTGAAAGAAAATTACTTCATGTCACGCGGCGTGAATGACATTATTCCGGTTACTTTCGTGGTGTTACTTATTATGAATATTATTACTCTGATCATTAAACCATTCAAATTAATAAGACAAACACATCCACTTGAACTCATGAAATCTTTTCTGGTTATATACTGTACATGTAGTCATACCAAGTATTCTGCTTAGACGTCTCGATATCTTGATGGCTGCTGCCATGAAACTGGCCAACCTGGTTTAAAAAGTTGAACTTCTTTTAAATACAGAGCACAATCGAGTGATATTTCGCACAAAAATTCTTCTTAAATTTTGTGTTTTCAGAAATATTGAGGCTGTTCGTATATTGAATGAAGTTAGACAACTGTATAGGTCCACATTTACAGTTTTCTCGTCGATTTCTTTCGTATTGTGGCTTTGGTTTTCGAATGTATTGATTAAAAAATGAAAATCACACTCATGTTTTCATGAATTTATGTCTAATTTAAATAACAGGGAAATCTCGGATTCATTATACTGGTCATGATTAAGGCTTCGAAAAGGTACTACTATACTGTAAAATGGTCGTGAGGGAACAAAGTGATAAATTTCATCCTGGAGCCTGGACCATCGAGGCGGCAATGGTTGCTGTAAAATATGAATTTATAGGCAATAGCGGGCGAGGACTATTTCATTACTGTAAAAATATGAAAATTAATATATTTTAATGAGCTGCATCAGTATCTAACGTTGAAGTAACCAAAATTCTTATTTTATTGAAATTATTTCCAAATATTAAAGTTCGTATATAACTTGTTACTGGTAAATGCAATGCTGCAACTAAATGATAAAATAGGCATGTGAGTAATAAGTCCGCCTTCTTGAGCAATGCAGGTTAATTTCTTCTCATTATTCGAGAGATTAAATATAAGATATGTGGTTGTTCGCACAGAGATATTTTATCCAGTTTAAATATAAGATATGTGGTTGTTCGCACGGAGATATTTTATCCAGTTTAAATATAAGATATAGAGTTGTTAACACAGAGATATTTTATCCAGTTTTAATATAAGATATGTAGTTGTTCACACAGAGATATTTTATCCAGTTTTAATATTGTTGTGGGTATAGTGGCAAAAAAGGATGAATAAGAACGATAAATGAAAACTATAATAAGCAAACGACAAATACAAATAAAGACAAAATCATATAACCGTGTGTTCCCTTTGCTCATGTTCATACTTTCGGTCTCAAGATTCGGAGCCTTTCTAAAATTAAGAAATAAGCGAAAATTTAGAACTAGCAATATTTGAGCAACCAAAAGCAGAATATTACGTAAGCCAGATAAATAAACTATCGACTGATAACCATAATCATGAACAAATCTAAACATCACCACTGAATTGCAACAGGAAATTGTCACAAAATAAACAGACCAAATGATAAAGTAACGCGTACCTCCGTGGTGGATCATATAGCAATGAACAAGTTTCGGTGCTTATCTGAACGAGGTCAGGTGCGAGGTGACTTAAATCCAAAAATCCAAATGTCTAACTGTAAAAACTCGCTATTACACTACGTACCCTAACAATATAAGATATGTGGTTGTTCACACAGAGATATTTTATCCATTTTTATTAACTTGTGTGCAGGGCTCGCATAGGCCTCGTTCCTCCTCAACGTAGGAACATAGACCTCCCATTTAGTAAATTATTGGATTGAAATTTTTATTAAAGTAAATATTAAATAATAACTTATGTTGCTGCAATTATTTCAATGTTTATATATAGCCCCGTTATATATAGTAGTTATATTACATTCATAGGAGTTTATTTCAAAATATTACTTCTTGAGGTCCTACCGATAATCCGTGGGAATAAAGAATATGCCACAATTTGTAATTTAGTTTTAAAATGAATTTATTTATCCTGACAAATAAACATGAATGAGCAATCCACTTAAGATGCATTCAACCTGAATAAAGTTTAATTTTAGAAGCAATTGATTATTGGGCATGATCATGCCTTTTCATTACATTTACGGAATTATTAACTGTCATGTGATCAGCAATAGGAATCTGTTGGCATTTATTTCTCTGCCACTAGTCCCTCTCGAGGAACACCCCATAATTAATTTATTTACAGATATTTCGGGGAATTAACTATCCCTAATCTCATGCCGTGAAGTCACATAAATGTGCATGGTGATGGTTTTCGAACGTATTGATTAAAAATTAAACATCATACTCTTGTTTATTGGGAAGTTCTCTATAGTTCATTTAACCTCTTTTTATTTTATTTTCAAACTTGAACTTGAACTCATCGGATGGTTGAGGCCTCTACCAAGGCCTGTTCATCTCTTCAAAGTCGAAGCCAACCTGATTCACTGCGCATGCGGAAGTGCGACACACGTACATTTACCATATACATTACGCCGAAAATATCCAAAGACACAAATACAGATACACATACATACGCACATACATGCAGGACCCTAATTCTTACATTCTGGCTCATATAGTGATGGCAGATCCCTCCAGTGATGTCAATTAAGTTTTTGAAAGAGTTCACAGATGTAGCCGAGACCACACTATCAGGCAGGTCGTTCCACGAGTCAACAATCCTGTACGTGCGAAAGGAAGTTTCCTCTCACGTTAAGTCGGTATTTGATCTTAAACAGCTTCATGGAGTGACCGCTGAGTCGCGTTGTAGTGGCCTTAATGAACGTTAGGTGCTGAACGCTGTAGTACCCGTGCAGGTATTTGTAAACCTCGATCATGTCGCTGCGCCAGCGTCGGTGTTCCAGACAAGGTAGTTTCAGCGACCGCAGCCTCTCGGGGTAAGGCAATATTATCCCTCAGTGAACCCAGGAGCTTCGTTGCCCGCCTTTGCACATCCTCAATGTCGCTGCAAAGGGTTTTATGGCGTGGTTGCCAGACACAATGTCCGTACTCCCGCAGCAGACGGCCTAGACGTTTATACAGTTGTACAAAAGTATGCTCAGTCAGATGGTCAAATACGACCTGCGAATTTCGCCTACTACCTTGTTTGCTTTTGCGGTGCATCCCCCAGGGCTAAGCCAGGTTAAGCTTCTATCACTTCATAAAAACGTCCCAGATCTTACCTTGAATAAAATAAATGCTGTATATCAATATTTTTTTGGTAATGTTAGTATTCTTGTGAAAAGATGACTAGCCCACACCAGAAAATAGCGAGCGTCAGGTCTATAGGCATCTTACCTCGATGCCGCGTGGCGGGGAAAGCCCAATCACTTCCTAGCAGCTTCAGGTTCATCGCAGTTCCTAGGACGCGTTCGAGTTGACTCGGCACTCGGGTAATTTTCCGGATTTTTCTTTATTTATGCCCCACAATTATATTGAGATTCATAGATTTTTTGCAGGGAGGGGGAATTTTAATATTTAATGTTGTTAATGAACAAACTAACGTGGAATGCAGGAATAATTAAATATATAACATTTATGATCGTCCTTACGATCAATAGATTGATTGTTTAACGGTTTATACCTCCAAAGTCCATTGTTCCGACGTAGACCAGGAAAGCCTGAGCAGGTATATAAGTAGGTAGGCCAGCGTGTGGCCGGCGAGTCCCCATCATATCATCAACTTGCGAAATTAAAGGTCTAAGATGGTTGTCTTCTTTGTAAGTTTTAACATTTCCAGAGAGGTAGCCCGGAGAATAGCTGCAAACAATCGGGGTAAGTTTTTTAGATCCAATTGCAGAGTTCGCAGTGTTGAATATTTTTTTTGCTCTCCTCTGAAATTGTTCTGTTAATTATTATATTACTATATACATTAATTACCCAAGCAACAGACTCTCAAGAATCAACAAGAAATAAAATATAAAATTGTACGTAATATATGAAACTTTGAGATCTGAAACTGAGTAAAAAAATTCTGAAATTTACAAGCTGAAAAATTATTAGGTCATATTGTCCATTTCCGAAAAATTTTCTGCGCGTAGCTCTGCTGCGTTTTCTTGCCAGGACAAACTGGGTTGGGATGACTCAAATCGTCTCTCAATCTATTAACAAGTTTCATTAAATTTCACCCGTTTATACTTCAATACAGTTATTACTAAACATTACTAGCCAATTGCCGAAAGATTGATAAAGGATTACTGTGCAGTGGAACACTAATATCTCTTGAAGTTATAGATCCACGCACCACCAAGATTCCACGTATCCATTTTTCGTGGAAGCGTTGAGCAGTGAAGTGAGAGTTCATTCAAATTCATGCCCTTATGTTCTCTCAGTTGGTTTCAATCATTTGTGCGTTCCATGTCATTTAAATTAATTTTTTTTATGTGCGTTACTAAGGATTCCTGCTTGCATTCATATAAGACAGCTACGATTCTTACTCAGGACGAAACACTTACCTCGTCTATTTCCCTAATTGTGCTTGTTCTCTGTTAGATAGAAGAAATTTATGGTTTCAATAAAATACGTTTTCGGGTTGTAATCTTAACTATGATAATTCAATTGATAGAAGTATGTTGCGACGGCTCTTAACAATTCGACGCGTTGGAACCCAAGAAAAGAAAAATAAATGTTTTTTCAAATTAAAATGAGTGGAACGCGATATCTAGGCCAATCTTTATAAACATTTGTCGCCCTCTGATTTGCTCGGCATACCTCATTTTCAGATAGGGACGTCCACTTAGTCAAATAATTTAGCTTACGTCAACTGTGTGTAGGGTTATTATCAACGGTCTGTCGAGAAGATCAAATTTTCTTATCCTGACATGACTGCCATTAAAAACTCAGAATCTCGATTTAGTATATTTTTATTTTATTTACGGTGCAACGGTCATTGAGCATACCGTATTTTCATGAACGTCCAATTAAATCTCTAAACCTTTTTTATCTATAATATAGGATATAGCTCATAAAAACTCTTCCAAAGAAACCATAACTACATCATAATTTTAATATCTGACAAAATCTGAAAATACTTTTTGTGAAAAAACTTTTGTAAACATTTTATAGTACCGGTATTCAGCTGTGAAATCTGCAGCTACATATTTGAAGGCAATGAAATTAATGCTCTGCGTTTAACAACAAGCTGAAAAGTGAGGTAGAAATCGCAATATATTTCATCAAATCTGCTTTGTTCAAGCAACAATTTCAAGAATTTCATCTCTTTAAGAATTTTATTGTCGAAATATTCCCAGAAACAGTTCACAATGGAAATTCCTGAGGCTTATAAGTATTCAATGGCGGCAGCGAGGGCTCCTGTGAGGCCAGCGTTGTAGTCGCACGCCACTTCGTTCTGTACGTAGTCGTTGCGGTCGTCCACGTAGTTGTCGTTCTGCGGACAGCCAACGATCATCAGTCATAAGAACAGATTTTAAATTATTATTTTATGTTATTAACAGCAGAAACTTCATCGATGTAATAATATTTCTATTTTGATCCATTGATAAAAGTTGGCTCGTCTTTTGAAAACTCAGCTTGTGGGAATCACGAAGATATTGTCGTGTCGTTACCTGGTCAGGGCCGCCGACAAGCGCTCCGTACAGCGTCTGAGGGTTGGGCCCAGGGTTGTTGATAGCCACGTTGGGGTCACAATACTCGGGGATGTCGGGACACGAGCTTATTTTTTTAAAAAGTGATTAGGATTTTACATGGAAAAAAATGCCAATTACAAATGAAGATTCTATTAGAACTTGAAATTTTCACATAATTTTTATTACAAGCACTTTCATTTTAGCAGTTTCTGTCAAAATAAGCACCGATTGCTCGTAAATTAAAATTTTCTATCACCTGGATCGATGATGAGGACGCTCAGGAGGAGATACTCCAAAGCCCACCATGAAGGACCGCCCCGTGGAGCCCAAGGCGTAGTCGATTTGCGACAAGGCCCAAGCGCGGTTGCTGCTCGTGTCGATGCCGAGCTGGGCTCCCTGCACGAATTTCGGGTATTCTCGAAGACAGATTCTAGATTCGATTGAATAAAATCTCTGTAGCGGCATTAATTGTTGCGAATGAAGGTTTTAGTCATGTTAAACAGCCTAATAACAAGTGAATAAGAATAAATAATGCCTAGTAAACAATGTCATGGGTATCAAAATTTTACGATTATACAAATTCTAATATACAACACCCTGGGTCTGCATCTAATGCTTGAATAATCTACTATGCGTCAAATCATCTTATTGAGAACAATTTTTCCACGGCCTGCGTCCGGATCTAATATTCTTTGAAAACCCTTACAAAATTACAATAACAAATTTGTTTAGCTGACAATCCTTTAAAACGTTAACAAAATTACAATATTTATTTGTCTGATCTACAATCCCCGAAAGCCTTTTTATACCTTCATTGCAATGAAAGCAACACCCAAAGCACTGCGTAGTGAGCCCCACTCGCCCAGGTAGAGCAGCCCGCCAGGGGTGTGGGTCTGCGACGTCATGCTGTCAATGTACTCCTTCGCTAGGCCCATGTAGAAGTCGCCACCGAACACCTCGGCAAACAGCACCTGCCGACATCACAGCGCGATGAGGTTTGAAGCGCGTTAGTTTTTGATGAGGGTTAATGTGGCCAAAATCTTCGCTGAAATGGGTAATTGAGTTTGACATTGGCTCATTGAGTAATATATACTATTGGAATCATGTATCATTGTAAAACTGCACTCCATTATTACTGACATTCTAGAAATTCGTAAAACAATTTGTAACCATTCTCGTGGAATCAGGGAAAAATCATATGAATCTTGGCTGGCATATTCATTCTATTAGATTGGTTTCGATTATGTTAAATCGATGTTGAGTGATTTCTTTAGAGGTTTTCATGCCCTTTTTTACATATCACATGCAATATATATATATATATATATATGTTCTCAGAAATTTTCGCTCAGTTCAAGCAACACTGCGTTTGTCTCACTATTTCAGGGAAACCCGTCACTTTTTCTGTATTTTCTTATGAATTCGTATAATGAACTTCTTCCGAGTTTGTTGTTTCACTTCTAGATTTATAGCATTGTAGTACTGCTCTTATTTTACCGATATTTCTTCATAAAATATCCGCGGCATTTGTCCATGTTTCTGCATCTTAAATTATTTCACCCGTCTATTTACCTGAGCGCCTCCGAACTTATTGTCCCAGCCGTAGCCAACGCCCGCAGCCGACCACTGCACGCCGAATTCATCCCAGAAAGCTTTGGCCTTGTCGGCGTAGTAGCTGTCGCCTGTGGCCTGGTATAGGAACAGAGCTGCCATGCACAACTCGTCGCCGTAGCCGCTGAACGACCTGTGGTGGATGCAATCCATTTGCTTGTGACCTTCAATATTAACGGACTTAGAGGTGTTGTATCAATCAAAAGAGAGAAGCTCGTTGGAAAACACGTGTGCTGAAGAAAACGACAGAAATTCGAAAGAGAATAATGACAAAGTAATATCATCAACTAGCACAAGTAATGTTGAACGCACTAGAGGTTTCACGAAGCCCACATCAGTAGACTGGAGAATTTCTAACCGTATATGTATATAACTTCTGCGAAATAAACTTTGATTCAGAAGCAGTAGAAAATTATTTACAATGTTTGGCATCACAATAACTGAACAGGTAATGCATAGATGTTACTACTCCCTTGTACCCACTGGTAATAATAAGCTGCGTCAGGGATAGAGATGTGGTATAGTTGGCGGTACTGATCAGCGAATTCGAACAAGTCCTTGGATGCCGCAAGACATCGGTCAGCGTAACCCGAGTCTGAGTCCTGAAGAGTGTTAACAACCACATTAATTATTTGCTCCCCAAACTATCATAATTAATACGTATCTGTACAGGGCATCCAGAGCAAATTTTCATTGGAGAGTGTTAAGATTCGGATGTGACTACCTCAACCTTACTAATCATATTTGTCACGATTTAAAAGCAGCCGTTACGCAGACCTCAAGATTTTCACAAATTTGTCAGAAGTCGCTCTTTTACCTCGAATTTCGGATATTGATTGACCTATAAATTATCAAGTTTAATTTTAATGATATCTACAAAAAGATTATAAAAAATACCTTCACAAAATCTGTACGCATAGCTCATTCAGAAAAAAATGTATTTTATTGCGTGAACTTTTTATCATAATACATTCATGTTCAAACTCACGCGGAAAATCATTGATGCTGTTGCCAAGGCAGCCGCCGTATCTGCAGCCAAATCTGAGCCTGCAAAATCCCAAGCCTTTATAAAAATGCTTAAAATCTATGTTTTAGCAAACGTCTTCCTCATATACACCGGTTTCGTTGATCTCTCTAATGCACGACAAGAAAATCTCATTTGTGTCAATACTCACAAATATAGAAAGAATAAAGCGGACATCTCCTCATTCTTTGAGAATAGAATTTTTAGACCAGAACCAATTAATTGTTGAAATTGTATAAATTTTCTCTTCTTCAACGTCTGTAACATAAATTCGAGCCGATTATATAGTTTTCAAACTATGCCCTGCAACAACTTTGTAAGTCTCATACAATATAATGTGTTATCTCAAAACCCGTCTCTATAAACAAATTTAAAGTGTCCTGTTTTACAAAATAAAAAGAATATTGGAGAACCGAAGCCGAGAAAATCTGACCTGGAGCGCTAGTGTCAATTTTCCATGCTGGTCGCTGCATGGTCATGTCTTCAGGGCGGCCCCAGTAAGCGTGGTCGATATCCCCTTGGCCGACCTGCATCATCATCAACTTTCTGATAGCATCATTTACTCTACAACCAATTTATTACTAATTGGTTTCTCTCTACTAATTTTAACTATAAATTGCAGTTTTAGTTATGCTAAAGTTTTATTTGGTACTTATGCTGAAATTACGCTAGAATTCTAGCCCTCAGTTTATTTGAGAAACGATTTATTCGCTGTTTAATGTCATGCAAATATTTAATTTCTCTCTGTTTTCGGTTGTTCATCTTTTATCAGCACCTGCTAAAAATTACAACAACATCGGACACAGCTCTGACCTGACCGTAGAGAAGCATGTTCGAGGAGTGGGCTTTCAAGAAGTAATCGGTGGCCCATTTTACAGCGTCCATGGCGTAGCCTGTCTGACCTGAACAGGCGAATAACTTCTACTTATAGGGTTCAGCTCGAAACATTCTTAAAGCTCTGTTTATTTGACGCAAAATATTATTAGATCTTGAAAACTTAGAGGGCGACCATAATATAAATTAATGTGAAGACATGAAGCATGACGGATGCGTCAGGACCATGATTTAAATGATGATGAAGATTATTCCGGCTCTGACAGTGCTACAAAGAAATAATTAATAATTATCTTCTGCCACTTGTGTTACTATAAAAGTGTCGATGTTTTATACTGTTTGGACGTACCTGCCTTGTCAAATCCAGCTTTGAAAGATAGTAAAGCCCAGCCAAGTGTGGTGGTGGTGAAGGCCATTGGGAAGCCAAACTTTACATGGTCTCCAGCTGGACACAAAACAGTATTACTGATGTTCTAGAGCCTAAAAACGAACAGATTTGGTCACTAAATCTAAAAATGATTTGGGTACTAAATACAGTTATTTGGTCACTAAATCCTGAATTTTTCTTTCTTTGTCCGATCTCTGGCGAATTTCTTTTCTGATGAATGGGAACGTCAATAATTTTAGTCTCGATCGCGATCTCCTCTTAAATCATTCGCGTAACTTTAAAATTATATTTAATGGCAAGTAAAAAAATTCTTGAACCATCGAAACTTCTTTTATCATACCATCGTAATAGCCTCCCGCGAGGTCAACACCAACATCCTGTCCATCATTGAGAGCCGAGTCCTGACGCCAGGTCACGCGTTGACTCGACGGCAGGTCGCCTGAGCGCTGGGCTTCATAGAACAGGAAGGACATGCATAGCGCCTGTTAGAAAAAAAAACTATAACCTCAAAAATCTCTCGTTGCCCGAGATCGATATGTATAACTCTATATAATTAAAAATTATTGTGGATAATCAATGATTATTGGTGGCTATAGATGGAAATTATAGGTGGAACACCGATGGCGCATCGATGCGGCAATCTTACTGCCAAGCACACAGAACGAATTCATGGTTCCGTCTTGATTTCGAATGACCCGCAACCAAATAACACCTTTCTACTTAGTATAAATTACAGTGTCAAATTCCTTCGTGCACTGCTCAGTTTGGGCAAACTGTAATCGGTGGCATGCGAGATGTTTACCTGCAATGCACCATCGATGATTCAAACCCTGTAAATCATCCATGATTAATCGGTGAAAACTATCTATACTCGCTACCCTTTCCATTTATTGATGTTTTACTGGCGATTTTTGGCAGATGTGGCCACCCACCGTTACGTTACCTATAGTCTACCATCCCCACCTATGATCATCGGTATGCCAGTCTTAATTTTTATTTGGTTATGTGAAACACAGAATTATTAAGATGTGACGAAAGTCTGTGATGTAGAATCGTCACGCCTGATTAGAGAGTAGAAATTACGAATGATAATTAGGGTATAATTTGGGGAGAGGAAGCGAATATTAGGGTATAATTTGGGGAGAGGAAGCAAATAGGGCGCAGTAGTTGTTCTTGTTCATGGGGGAAACTTTGGGATTGTTTAGGGTAAAATCAAAACGACTCTCCGTTGCGGTTTGCGGTGTATATATAAGTAGCTGGGCGTGCGTCAGGACTCCGGAGACAGTCCCGAACCAGCGAAGCATTTAAGCGGACGCGCGGTGAGAAGCGAGTCGGGTGTCGTGAACAAGTTAGTGGTCGGAATAGCGTTGGTGCGCTATGCGCAACTACCAAGGGAATCGCAACGACAGTGACGAACTAAGAGAATTTCAACTATTAGCCTGCATATTTAGGACAAGATTCCGAAGACAACCGCGAAAATTCTATATGCGCTTGAGCGAAGATTTCGGAAACAACAACAGCGGTAGAGTTTAAAATTACGACACCCTCTAGAGAATCCTATAAGACTGGAGTTCATCAGATCTTGGTGGGGTAAGAACTCGACAGTCCAACGCTCCAGTATCGTTCCGACTTCAGCCGTTTACGGATTTTGAGTCCCGGAATTGACTCCCCCAGAGACCGAGAGTCTACACCAGCGGCTGAGCAAGTTACGGCGAAGTCAACCAGCCCTCGATGCCCGGGCGTCTCCTTCTCAAACCCGGTGATGTACCAGTTTGGGAACTTAAGTTAAGCCATTCTTTTATTTCCCTAGAGGCGGGTATTTTAGCGGAGAATGGCCAGTCGGTATCGGTGTTATACCCAGTTATTGACAATAACTCTGCCCAATTTCAGTACTTGGGTCTGTGTCTGAATTATTATTTCAGTGTTATTCCTAGCTATTGACTATAACTGTCCAATTTGAGTACTTGGGTCTGTGTCTGAATTATTATTTCAGTGTTATTCCTAGCTATTGACAATAATTCTGTCCAATTTCTGTACTTACGACTGTGTCCGAATTATTATTTCAATGCTATTCATAGCTCATGATAATTACTCTGTCTAATTTCAATATTTACGACTGTGTCTAAATTATTATTTCAGTGTTATTCCAAGCTATTGACAATAATTCTGTCCACCCCTGCACTTAGGCCTGTGTCTGATTTTATAATATAGGTAGTTTTAAAGCTTTCCACGTGTCGTCATTTCCCTCCTGTACTAATTCATTATTGCCCGATAAAGAACCTCGCGTGCCATGGAAATCACTATGGCCGAAACCTGACAAATGAATAAACCAAGGACCTCAGAGTAAACACTACATTTTTAACTTAATCACGCCTGGAGCAAACTTCTCCAGTTAATTAATCACTTGCGCGCCCGAAGATTACCATTAGTGCAGAATTGTATTTTTTAAGATTGTAAGACACTCGCTTGGGTGTTAAAAAGACAATATATATTTATAATATTTCTCGGCTGATGCGATCGAAAAATGCTTTCGAAATCCACGCCAAGTCCAATTGTTTCACCGTATGTCAGATAGTTCGCACGTGATCATTCCAGCGTTTCAAAAGATCATACTGAGCATTGTCAGTAAATTATATTATGCTCGATTAAAGCCCCTTTCACACAGGGCGGCAAATACCGCAAGCGTGGAAAAAACGCGCCTGTATATTTACTGCGTAATCGTTCACACGAGGCAGTTTTTAACACTGGAATTTATCAGTCTTGCAGTAAGAAGTGCAACGTTATACGTTCACCATATGTACCTCATGAAAAACTTTGGACGTTTCCTTGTAGCTATGTAGATGGTTAAATTCGCTTTATTATAATCTCAATCATTCCAACCATTTCTAAACATAAAAGCAACTTTCAGTATATAGAACAATTGTTTATAAACTGTCACCACTGCATAAATGAAACCACACAAATAATGTTGAATGGTTTTTGACACAGACTTGAAAAACCATTTACAATTTTATCGGACTTACCTGACTGTAGTCGAAGGGCGTCTGGCCTGTGGGAGGGCACGCGCCATCTTGTGCCCTCACGCCCGCAACTACAAGTTCAATGTGAATTTATTATAAAACATGTCTTAAGTAAATACCCATGTCTGATCTTGAAATAATAAAATGAAACATTATTTTTGAAATTTGAAATGAAAATAAACAAATGAGAGAATATAAAATGTTTATAATTTAATAATATTGATGCACATTATAGGCCCTTTCAAATCAAGTGAACATTACATTCTTAAGTAGGAAGCAAAGAAGTACAGTTGGTGCACATTTTCGCTCGTAGAAATGAATGCATCAAGCATCAAAGCTTAAAATTGTTTAGTTTCCTTCACGTAATGAAGTGAGGCTGATTTTTGGTATACATACTTTACAAGAACATTGAAAATTATAATGAAGTACTGGGCTGTTTTTTATTAAATAAGCGTTATACCAAGTTTAAACAAAAAAGAAAAATATATTACGAAAATTATCTAAATTACTACTTATGTTTGAAAGATTCATTAAACCCTAATTAACAGAATAGTGTTGGTCAATATCCTACCATAATTTAAATAGGTCATAGGTCTTCAATTAACACAGGGGGCTCTAGTTTTACTATAGACTCACTGAGCAGGAGCCCCAATGAGCAGAAAGTAAGAATCGCTTTGGCCATGTTAGAGAAGGTGAAGCTGCGCCACGTCTGGCGTCTCCATTCCCCATCTCTCTTATATACGCTCTTCAGAATCACACACGACGGCTGCGTATTCACTCACTGGGCCCGATTGGTGCAAGTGCCCTGGGAATGCACTTTATAATATTTTACACCTCATCTAACTTAAAATCATCCCTTTCCTACCTCCATAAGCTCATATTTCAAAATTATTACAAATAGAACAACAGTTCAGGTGAGCTGTGCAAACATGCAACTCATTAAAAGAGAGGATTTCCTGGCCTCAATCAATGAATTTTCTGTTTGGACCGTCATATTAGATTTGGGTAAATCACAACTAAAAGTTTTAGCAGCAAATGTACGAAGAATATAAGAATATTCGTGACAACTTGATCCAGTACTTTACAAGCATATATTTTGGAACATAATGAAAGAAAAAGATAGAGTTTAAACAGACACGAATAGTAGCGTTCAGCCATGCCATAATTGGTGTTCATGCATATACGCTATTGGAATTGTGCGGTAAATATGATTTATTTATGATGAAAGTCATCTAAAGTAATTTCAGTTCTCAGAACAATGTTTTTCTTCGTGGCTATTCGAATCAATATTAGTATTTTTATTATCATTATTTTTTCCTTCATAAACAACAAGAATCGCGATAAGTTCAGCGAAAGCATCCCTGCCCAAAGAATCATCTAGAATTGAATTGATGGGAAAGCGAACCTTGGCACACAAGGCTGGGGTGATGTTTGCATTATTGAGATATAAGACAGAACGTGCAACGATTATTGACAAGTGGCGTGAGATTTAACCATGTGTTTGGTCTGATCATAAGCAAACTTAACAGTCACGTTACTCTTCCTTTCAATTAATTTATGCATGCGAATTGAAACTGCACTCTTTACCGTGGTCAAGGAAGAAGGCTCTATTTTATTCCCATAATTTATTTATTATGCATGCATGATAAATACGAATAAATTAATTTATATTATTGAATTAGGGGAAGGTAATTTATCACATCAATCAAATTAACGTGCGATGGAAATAATTTTAGAAATTCAAACTAAAATAATTACGAAACTCGGAAAGAAACAAGATGAAAACTTGAGGGAGAAAAGCTGCAGCCGTATGCAGGTATGATATGAAAGCATGGTAAATTAGCGTGGCTAGTCGAGCATAATTAAGCAAAGTATAATCCACTTAATATAATTTACACTGGCCACCAACGCATGAAATAAGGTGTAACAAACAAAAGAGAATTCTAATTAACCTATGATGTTACATGGCTTACCTATTGAAAATCGAGGACATGATCTATATGGGGAGGTACCGAGAGCTGATCGAGTGGCTTCCGACAGGCTTGGCTGCTGGCTGAGTTTCTTCACAAATTAGGCTGAACTCTACTCCACTAGTGACTGAGATGAAAATCTCGATTTTTGCATGCAAAGATCGATTTTTGCAAAAATGTCGATCTTATATTTACTTCATCTGTCGCTCTATTTTAACAAAAAATATGCAAATTTTGGAGTAAAAGAGTTATAATGGAGGAAATTTCAAGAAACTTGGAATATTATTTTTCATGATTTTGCAACTTTTTAACTTTTTTCGAGATATCAAATGGGTTATACATTTTATTCTTTCCTGATTGGTATACAGTCATTTCTTGATCAGCCTCCTATTAGTAGATATTTATGACCAAAATAGTTGTATACGAGCAAGTTTCCTTGTGCAGTGAAAATACCGTATAGTTACTGTTGCGATGAAGGCGTTGTGGAAGGAATGAGGGGAAAGAGACGTTGTAAATTACTCTTCTGTCAATCCACGGCTGGTGGTGCGGTGAAGAGGAACTCAATGAGGGGCGAAGAATATTACGTGGCCAGTCGTCGGCCGAGGCCAATTAGATCTAACCGACTGCTGGAAATTCTTCGGCCATCTGAAAGCCGCCCGTTGCCCCAAAATATTACAAAAACTACATTCTCGAGAGTAGCAAATTGTCGACCCGAGGACAGAGCAAAGATTTCACACCGTCGTCACGAATGCCTATAGCTCTCAGACTTCGCTGCACGTTGACTACGAGCCCTAATCAATCAATGAAATGCTCCTGAAAATAAACTTCAATATGGGTAGAATAAGAATATTGAAGTAAGGCGAAAATAGTACCTTGCAAACGTACCACAATATAATTCGGAATTTCACATGACTCCTGATGGAAAGATTTTTTCCCATAATTAAGAGCCAACATATTACTTACATGACTACTGCTACTAAATATATATAGCAATTTCAGCGTTTATTAGGCCGTAGGCCTGTCATCGATTCTTAACAGTGAAGAACATCCACAGCTTGTTGCAGGCTCGACTCGCAACGCACCGCTTCAAATTTTCTTTGCTTAACCACCCGGCCTCCTTGCTGATTCTGACCAGAAACTGGCGCACAGAGCTGGGATCGAACCCGCACCTCTCTGCTCTAATCATGGTACTCTGAACTTTAACCACTGGGCCACCAGTGGGGCCATTGCATATAATATGATATGCAATGTTAAAAGTTCTTTTAAAATAAGTTCATGAAAATATATACCTGATTTCGTCGAATTTTTCATAGACAGACAGTAAGCCGCTCATTCTGCGATATTTTCTGAATTTGTTCTTAGGTTGATAGTTCAGGTTAAAGAACCTCTTCGTGAAATATTTTCAGAATGTTTATTTCAATGTATAGTTGGGAAACACTTGACAATTGTTTCCTCTTTCGGAGACAGGAATGTTGTTCCTGCCATGATGTGGTCATCTCTGGTTTACGACTTCAGTTGTCGGTGTGCATCGGCGTACGTCGGATTGACGTCACGTAACACCGTGGCATGCGTTACGGTTGTGGAGTTCTGCTAGAACCTCGCCTCATTCAGATTCAATCCGCCTCATCAATTGACGCTGAATAGTGCGACGTTACGTCAGAGAGCAACTTTGAGACACTAAGCTGCAATTGTGATGTCTCAGATTCAAGGATCGTGCTATGAATTGTTGCATTTTTTAAATTATAACCTCTTTTTTTACAACCCATTAATGATGATCAAACCTTCGACGTGCGAGGCTGTCGTGCCGAGCTTCTTCGGCGGCAGCTGACTGAAGCCAATTTCCACTAATGGCAGACTATGAAGTAAGGTTATGGGCATTATACCTGTTCTGGATCTGTTTCAGCCTGCCTTGCCGTTCCGAGGAGCGAGGAAGTGAGCCGACAGTGTTCATGAAGACTGCGAAATCGACAGGTCTCCTGAAAGCCTCGCAAAACCCCTCCGAACGATCCTGAGCAGAATCTTCATCAAGACTAAAGTATTTCTGGCTAACTCCATGGCGCGCTTGGCCTCACCAGTCGTAGTTGATGCCCCCAATTGAGATTGGTGCCCCCAACAGGGGTTGGTGCTCCAAGTAGGGCTGGGGCCCCTAGATGTGGTAAGTGCCTCAGTTGTGGTTGGTGCCCTTAGGTGGTGTTGGTGCCCCCAAAAGTGGTTGGTGTCCCCAGGTGTGTTGGGAGCCCCCAGGTGTGGTTGGCACACAAGGTTTAGTTGGTGCCCCTAGGTGCTGTTGATGCCCGCAGTTGCAGTTGGTGCCCCATGGGATATAGTTGGTGTAAGCCAATTAAAGTCGCGTACATGATGTCCCTCAAGTTTACGCAGCAGCCTAACAACTTTCTGGTCCCATAACTTTCCTCAGTTTCTTATAACATTTCGACTTAAGAAAACTTTCTGTGCGGGACAAGTAAAGCCCGTTCTGTCGAGGGGTTACATATGGACCCATTTCCAGCGCTCCTAAAATTTTGAAATAGAAAAAACTTCAACGCGTTACTGTCGTTTTTCAATTAAAATTCAAATGACTGCAGGGAATCTCTTCAATGAAACAGAAAAATGTACCTTCCAACTGCTTGCATTCAAGTCTTTCTGCCTTGTAAATATTTGTTCTCTTAATTCATGCAATGTCTTATCTTTTTGTTCTTCCTGACTATTCTGTTCATAAATGTCACGAGTTACGTCGCCTCATTCGTCTGTAAAAATTAACTCGGCCCAAGCTATAAATTGATTCATTCGCAACCATAAATCCTAGTACCATATATTTAATTATTTCACTGGAGATAGCATTACAGCACGTAACTCGTTCAGGCATCCATTTTGATTTGATGAAAAATTTATACACCACACATTTCGGTCGACCGCTTACTAGTTTCTTGGTGAACTATTATTTTGAGTAGTATCCTAAAAAATAACTTCTTATTGAATAAGTAAAGAATAGTGGAATCTACATAATATATTGTGAGGTGTTTATGCTACAACCATAACTTCATTTGGAAACTTTCAATCCATCTCCTCTGGTCATCTGTGAATGTTAGAAATGGAAGACCAATCGTACTTCCCTGAGCCAAACTTAATCCATAAAAGTATTTATTTAAGTCCAGCGTATCATTACAAGTATTCCCTTGAAGCCATAGGAATCGATACAATTATTCATTTCTTTGAGCCCACAGTGGGGGGAAATAAATATTCGTACACTTGAAAAATCGTATTTTAATGTATGTAAGTACACAAACTTAACAGGACAAGTGATTTAAATTATGTATAGAGACGCATAGTATTCAAAAATACTATCAAAAGAAATTAAATCTCAATGCAACAAAAAACATAGTTATGGAAAGATCGGGTTCCAAAGGCCGGATCCCTTGTGAATCAAGTCACGAAAAGTTCAAGAATCGGCAACAGGCCATGGGCCTATTTCTTCAACGCCGACACTTCTATTCTATTCTATTCTATTCTATAACCTCTGCATTAATCCGTTCCCTTAGCTGTGGTAGGGTGTGAGGGCGATTTCTGAATACCCTTTCTTCTAGATGTCCCCAAAGAAAGAAATCGCAAATGCTCAAATCAGGTGACCTCGCAGGCCACTATAAATCACCCCTCAGAGACACCGAGAGCGACTCCAACAGTGTGTTGCAGCTAACGGCCACCATCTTCTGATATTATTTTCAAAAGATAAGTATTCTAAATGGTTTGTTACGCCAACCTTGAGGAAATTAAATTTTCTTCTTTATGTACCTCCATTACTCTTTTATTCCGCCTCAAAACTGCTCAATCGGTTTTGCCCCACCCTGTATTTCTAGCACTCCTAATCACATTATTTCGTATGCTATGTAAAGGAAATACTTTATATCCTGGAGTCACTTGACTGTGCCGAAAAACCATGTTAATTTCTCTGTAGGGGGAAGAATAAATCACAAAACTGTACTATTGCACATCAATTAATGTAACTGATGTAACAAAATTCACTTAATGTCCATTCAATGCGGAATCATGCATTTTTATCATTCAGGTTGAAATTTGGAAGACTCTAACTCGGACGTCAGCGGAGTCATCAAGAGTTTACGCAGGCGCTCCTTCTAGCTTTCCAGCAAGGCGGCAGCCCTGCGACACATCAGCCCTAGAGCTACAACTAAGTAAGGAAAACGTTATCTGCTACTCTTTTGTTTACAATGTAGTTGCATTTTCTTGAAAACGTGCGTGAATTGCTTAATTGTCATAAGAAGTTTTATGCTATATGTTGCACCTATCATTCTAAACCGAAACCTGTGCAATCGCATGTTATCAATTTCAAATTAGATGGCGAAAAGAACCGACTCTTTATAATCCTTCGTGTCACATGATACAACTTGTCCAGAATTGGAGTGATGGAGACGTACCGTACTGTCTAACAATTAATCTCTAATTGGCATTCGGAGATGATTTCATGGTCGCGTATGGTGCTCGTGTGTCCAGCTTAACTGAAATAGAGTTCTCTCCACATGCGACTGAAATTACCATTTTGACAGCTACCTAGAACCAAAATAAATTGGAAATCAGGTCTTTAATCGAAAATTATGCATTCTAATTTTCCGCTCGAATGGGCGGGCCGTAGATCGAACACGCTGGTATTAATTTACTGTTAACTTAATCGTTAAAGTTTAGTCCTCTATGTCAGAACTTGCTCATAAATATTCGCCTCGTAGTTTTAAACACGAGGACCGATCAAGCCAAGATGGACGAACTAATCAAGATGGCAGATCGGTTTTAGAACAGTAACGGTCACCAGTCAGATTTAATGCATGGCACGACATTCAGCGTCGGTAGATCCTCAGAGCGTAGTCCTATAACTTAAAAAATCGCTAATGAAGATTTTCGACGTAGTTTTCAAAAACGAGGGTATAAAATTCATACAGTGTTGTAAACGGAGCACAGCAACACACGTCCGCCTGCAGCCACGGTCGGCGCAAGGCTCAAAACAGCCGGGGCAAGAATAAAAAAAAAACTATGAGGGATGATTTACTTGTGGTGGACATTTTTCACAGAACCTTACAGAGCATGGCTGCCTCACATAGCTTAGCTGCCTCACAGAGCTTGGCTGCCTTACAGAGCATGGCTGCCGCACCGAGCATGGCTGCCTCACAGAGCTTGGCTGCCTCACAGAGCTTGGCTGCCTCACAGAGCATGGCTGCCGTACAGAGCATGGCTGTCTCACAGCGGTTGGTTGATGACCATGCGCGCCAGCGTGCCCACGAAGCCGGCGTTGTAATCCGTCGCCACTTCGTTCTGCACGAAGTTCGTGCGGTTGTCCGCGTAGACGTCGTTCTGTTCACGATAAATAAATGATGAGACGAGCGTTTCCAGTATCATCTCATCAAACAATTGATTTTTTCTCATTGAACACCACAAATGAACCATTTAATTAATTAATTAATTTAATTAATTAAATAAATAATGAACCATTTAATTTAATTATCATTCGAACAGATAAGTTGTGTACAAGGAATTTTATACATTGGAAATTGCAATGCCAGCGCGGATAGATATATCTCGTTTAAATTATTTGTGAAATAATTATTTTAATTTTGTGTGCATTGAGGTTACTATTGTTATATTTTTTGTTTTTATCAAATTTTCCCAATTCTCGGGAAGGGCGTTTGGTCCACAATGTTTACTGTCATTAGATGGCTGTAGTTTTCAACCAAGTTTCATGTGCCAGGTCTGTTTCCTCTTAAGGTATTAAGGTAGTCTCACCTCGTCATGTGCCAGGTCGGGTTCCTCTTACTGTAAGGTATTAAGGTAGTCTCACCTCGTCAGGTCCCCCGACCAATGCTCCGTAGAGGATGTGGGGGTTAGGGTCGGGGGTGTCGAAGTAGGTCCAGCCGCAGGGCACGTCGATGTCTGGACACGACCTGTAAGAAGTGCATCATATTGGCTTTAATGCAGCAAGATTTTCGAGTCTAAAAATCTTTTTCTTCCAAAATGAATTCAAATAGTTCGTGTTATAAGTTTTTCTGTGGATAGTTCCAAAATATTATTCTGATGTTAATGAACTCTTGGTGAACTAGCGAGTTAAGCGAACTAATGATATAAGTACTCTGATTTAAGAAATTTAAATCTAATATATCCAGGTTTCCAGGCCGTTTATCGATTGCAACGATTAAATTACGGGTGTGATATGATATGAAATAGACGGTAATTGCTCGAGCGAACTCAACTAAATAGGCGCCTATAAGTAGATGATATAATGGAAATGGAACCAATAATGCCATGCTGTTATGCCAGAGAATTACGCTAAAACAATTTCTCAGTAACGACAATATAATGAGAAGTTTTGTTTCTGTAGTCATCGTAATATATTTTCATCCACTCACGCAGCTCTGTGATGGCAGTGGGTAGGTGGATTCTTGCCTACACCCACAACGTACGATCGGTCGGACGGATTAGTCCCCAGTGCGTAGTTAACTTGACGCTCAGCGAACTCGACGTTTGCATCCACATCAATACCAAGGTCCGCAGCCTGAAGTTGGTACGATTAATTTAAAAAAATTTGGTTCGTCGTTTTTATTTCATTTTAGAAGACTCTCGAAATATTGTTGGAATTGATTGAAAAATGCAATAATATGACCTTGAAAGCGATGAAGGCGTGATTAAGGGCGTGTCTAAGAGACCCCCATTGCGAGAAGTAGTGCAGGCCGCCCGGCGTGGTGACGTAGTTGTTCCTGAACTCGGCCACGTTCTGCTGCAGGAAGGTCAGGTACTCTCCCCCCAGCAGCTCCGCGAACACCGCCTGAGGAACGATGAGACTTTGAGGCGAAACAAGTCCAGTTAAATTCAGGGCCGAGTGCTTGAATCTGACTCGTTGATTTTATGAATTGAATGATTTCATTTTAATTTATATTGCTCAGTACTACAAAGAAAATCATGTGGAGAAAATTTACTCTGCCCATTGACTGATGTCTGAAAGTTCAACTTTCGGACATCAATCAACTTTCGTATATGAAAGTTCAACTTTCAAATAGATTATTAAAGATAAATTATGCAAGCCTCAAATAAATACCTTAATTGAATGTTTTGTATTTACCGTAGACTAAAAAACCCCAAATATAAACTGTTAGCGGTGTTTTTAAATCCAGAGAAGCAGTGCATGAAACAAGTTCATTATTTTGGCGATTTTTGGAAACGATGCAGCCACACCTTGCAGATCTTTCATTTTGCCGTAATACAAAACAATATCTCGCCAGCCATTTAATTTTATTAGAGAACTTACATTGCACCCAGATTTTTTGTTGTCCCAATTGAAACTCGCGCCGTAAGCGACGTTGAACTCTACGTAGAACTGCTCGGCGAGGGCTCTGTAGCTGTCGTCACCAGTGGCGCGGTACAGCCAAATGGCGCCCCATGTCAGCTCATCGCCGTAGCCCGAGGACCTGCACGTAACGGTTACACATTGCACGATTTGCGGACGAATTCTCAAGTAGAATATGGATTTTGTTAATCATTTTTTGTAATCACGGTGCCAGGACTTAAATTGCAACCTTAAAGAGCCTTAGGATCATCGGAAAAAGATAAAATTATGTACACAAAAAGTAATTAGCAGCTTGGTTTTTGATGGTGAAAACAGAAACCAACCATGGAAAATAAAAACTTTTACAAATATTACGTGTAATAGGCGTCCCCTTCTGGAATATTATCGGAGTAGACCGCTCTGTAGGTGTTAGCGAAGTCAAACAACTCTTTGGCGGCCGTCAGCAGAGTTGCGGCGTACGCGGGGTCGCTCCTCTGTAAGCATTCAATTTTACACAAATAAGCTCAACGTTTGAGTCATATTGAGTACTTCATGATCTAAATGTTGGAAAATTGTTTTTATGGTTAGTTATAAATCGTGGATTCTACCTATCAAAGTATTTATAAATTGTCAACAATTCAAAGATTGTGAGTTCAAAAATATTGAAACCTGAATCCTCTGTAATTAATACGAATAGCGCAGGTATAAATCTTTCTAATAGTAGTAACTTACTGTATGTTCGCCCAAACCGATTAAACTGTGAGATCAATTTCGATGATCATACGATTTTTTAGGTTTGACCGAGAAGCTCGAAACGTTCGTCGTATTATGTTAGGCCAACAGATAAGTGAGATAACGAGGCCTCAAACTCACCTGAAACACCATGGAGGAAGCAGCTAATCCCGCAGCTAGTTCAGCTCCAACCTCAGTGCCTAGTTATAGAAGAATAACACACTTAACTTTCCTGCGATGAATATTCTGTCTCATTTTTATACCTATTATTAAATTATTGTATTTTATCTATACCAAAATTGAAAATACTATCAATTTAAAATTTTATGTACGTATGAGAATGAATGCCAGCGGCATGCCGGCTGACAGAAATTAGGATGACAGTCAGTACTTATTACTGCTGCCGTAAGCTGGCCTGGTAAAATAAATTAACTAATAAAAGTCAAAACAGGTTGACTTTAGCTATTGCTTTGATTGAAAAATACAAAATACCCCTTCCCTAAGGAGTGTTCTCACTGATGATATTGGGGCATTGAATGATGAAATAATATTTGTCTATCAACTAACAATCGGTATTTAGCTTGGACTAAAATATTTCATGAGCAAATATGAACGCTTTAGTGATAATAAAATAAAAGTAAATAATAAAATAATAATAAAATAGTAAAAAAGTAAATAATAAAAAAGTAAAGTAAGAAAAAGAAAAGTAAATAATAAAATAAATTTAATTTACTGATAATAAGATAAAAGTTGTCACCGACCGGGGTTGGTCTCATTAAGCACGAAGGAAGGTCTAGCCATGGTCATGTTTTCAGGACGGTCCCAGAAAGTGTGATCCAAGTCGCTGTCTCCTACCTGAAAGTTTCATCGCATTAAATATTCAATAATTTTGAGATGCAAGATTTAAATTTTACATTCACAACCATCATATGCGGGAAATTTAAGTTCGCTTTCGGTCAAGTTTGATTCACATAATGATTTATGAAATGGCTCCGAGATGTCCCAACAAGTGGAAATGGCCCCGAGTGAACGTTCACAGAAATATATATTGTATTCACGAGATCATGCATGCTTTCTTAAATATTATAAGAATATTCAATTAAAAAAATTACGGATATGATGGTTATATTCTAACAAAAGAACCGAACGAGAATTTATTTCAATGAAGCAGCCGAATTTTTTGGTATGATCGGTAAGATATAGTTACAATGAAATAATTATATTGTAAAATAAATTGCCGGCGTACTCATCAGTGTTGCATCCGTACCTGAGCCCAAATGGTGGTGGGTGCAGTGTGAGACTTCAAAAAGTAGTCCGTCGCCCACCGAAGCGTCTTCTCGAAATATTCAACTTGGCCTAATACAAATGGAAATATTTTTGACATAAGCATTACTTTACAAATGAACAATCTCAAAAGTTCATGTATCCATAAAAAACCATCGCAAAAAAGTTCTAGATATGCCGTGTTATAGCAGATCAATTATCCTAATGGTTAACGGCAACAACTTACCAGCCTGAACGAAGCCGTCCTCGTACGAGATGTAACCCCACGCCAAGAACGTCATTGTGAAGCCCATCGGAAACGCGAACTTTACAAAATCTCCGGCTGCAAACAAGACAACAACAAATTTTTCTCGTCAATATTTGCAATCTTGATGGTGGTTCTAGCCAATTATTATCAAGTTAAAAATGATTGAATAAGTAAACATTACTCCTGAATAATTTGTTTCCCGTGCTTCAAAACAGTAGTGAAACGGAAACGTTTTGAACGGCAATGTACATTGCACATATATTAGATACGATAAGCTATTGAGTTGATGGTGCAAGTGAATTTTTAAATTGTTGTCGCTTGAATTCCAGATTGATATATGTTTCTGTTCCTTTAATTATGAAAACCGATGACAATTTGATAACCAAAGCAGACGTGAATACTTCTCTCACCGTCGTAATATCCGCCCTCGAGATCAACGCCGTCCGCGGCGCCGTCATCCACAGCGGAGTCGTAGCGCCATTCAACGCGCTGGTCCGAGGGCAGTTTGCCCGAGCGATTAGCTTCGTAGAAGACCAGAGATTGGCACAGAAGCTGAAAACAAGATTTAATGTTTATTTCGATTCACCAATAACACCTAAGTTTTAGATAAACGTCACATGTTGATTTTTTCGTTGAAATGTGAATGAATAACTTACGAGATATTTTAATTCCAACAAATCAATTCAGTAGTATTTTGCTTTTCATGAATAGTTTCACCTTTAGGGATAAATTCTGTTTATAAGCTGCTAAATATTGTTAGGTATAGTTAATTCTCTTGAAATATTTCGCTGCCTCACTATTTTGTTAGACAATGTTACCATATCTGATCTACCTGACCAAGATTTTCTATATACGATCTACATCGCTAATCTTGCAAGCTACTCGATCAATGTTCCAGAGAGGATAACTTCGTTTTTGCGATTTGCAAAACTCAATCTAATCATGAGAGAGTTTGATGCAACATAATTTGAATTGCCAAATAACGGATGAACAATCTTAAGAGTCTACTTATCCACGCAAACACTGCGAAAATGTTTATGTAGTAACTGCTTATGGTGTTATAGCTGATCAATTTATCGTAATGGTAGACAAAAGTTTGGTTGTAAAATATGATCAGTAAATATAAGCTGCAACTTCGGTACGTTGGTACGTAAATTGTAAAAATTATAACAGAAATTACCAGTAAAAATCATGAATTTGTTTTTAAAATAAGCAATAGCTATTGCTTAAGAATTCTCTTAAGTCTGTCATGTGTGGAATAATTACGGAATGTCAATAATAACGATAACAATTGAATGATAATTTATATTCTGCTTCGAACCGACAGATCTCAAGAAGAATGAGATTTTAGTTGGTATACATCAAATTCATGCCGGCTTTTTTTAACAGTTATCACTACCTTTCATTATTATTATAGTGACATCGTTTTGATTTACATTACCTCCCGGTAGTCGTAAGGAGAACCGCCATATTCGCTGCAGTAACCAACCGCTTCTGATCGACTGGTCCCTGTGTTGAGAAATAACATACAAACTATAATGGAGTTGCATCACGTTATTTTGTGCCTGGGATGATAGTTCAAACTTGATCTCATCCGATGGGATGAGTTAATATTTATGAATCCAACTTAATTGAGTAATAACGTGAAGCACGGTCGGAATCACCCCAATGCGAGTACAAAATATATCATAAATCGTTAGTATTCTAATGATTTTTCCTGAAAATAGGCCACTTTATTGTTGTACCGAACTTAATTGATTGTGATCATCAATATTTTCAATGGAATCTGCTCTCTCTTAAAATAATTGACGACTTAAAAATAATCCCTTTATTTTGGGAAAATAAATTTATCATTAGTATGTTTTTGGCTGTGTTTTATCCCAGCTGTAATAGGCAAAGTTTAAACTAGACTACGGTAGTTACTCCTTTCTTGATTTAGTGTACCTTTTCCCCTCACTTTTAATAATTTCTTTACTATTAGCGAACCTTGCAACTCACCGGCGACGAGGAGCGCGAGAATGAAAACGACTCGACGCTCCATGTTCTGCACTAGGTCTGAGTTGACTGCCTCCCAAGCCTTGTTTTATGAGCTTATCGGTCACAGGTCTCCAATGATACACACCTGAACCAAAACAACGTGCGTACCTGTACAGTGTACAGTAGCGCAATCTCCTTGAAAAAGAAAATATTTATGTTACACTTACATTGTTCGATGGCATGGTAGCATCACGGTTGTGGGATTTAATGAAAACTGCTGAAGGTTTACTTTAACACCGTAAGAGCGGCTAGAACCTGCTCAAGCCAAAGACAAGAAGCTAGAAAGCGATGGGAGAACTCGGAGAAGCAGGTGCTGCCTTTTGCAAGGAACTGAAGCAAGGGACATAAAATTTACGCTAGAATCCGACAACTCGCAGTACATGTTACAGATGGATAATACATTTATTCTAACAATTTAGAGTGAAATTTGTGGTGTAGTCAGTGATTGCGCTTAAGGAGTGATAGCAATTAATTTTTTAACTTCCTCTGAAATTTGCGCAAGCGTTCTACGTTTGTATGAAAGGTGCAGGGTTTAACGTTTTATCGTTCCGTCAACAAACATGAAGAATACGTCGTCAACTTCTTATTCCCCAAAGTATATTTAAATCTGAAAAAAATGACAACAGGTATTTATCTTTTGCTATTTTTTTAAGAAATCATCATGCCTTCATTGAGCTCCTCACGTGTCAGTATAGTGTTGACGATCGTTTTGCATTGACCCCTGCTGGGTGCATCTCAAGTCCATATACATATGTATATGGATGACTCAAGAAGACTATACATATGTATAGTCATCCATGCATTGATGTGGTCCCGATTCTCTTTCGTTCCAGAACATACTTCGATCAGTGGGACATACTCGATCAACTTGACTAAAGACTTTTCCAGTGAATATTAGGGATAACGTTTATTGTTCTTGTCACCTTGAAATTACTGAAGCATCGACTTTGCCGTGCAATTATCAATTTCGTTTTTAATTATTACCTTATGAACTTACTCGTTTGTAGTTTCTATTCGTTTGACCTCTCATTATTGATGGAACGATTGTTATCGACAATACTATTGATTTTCTTGTTTTTTACATTATTATTAATTTTTAGTGAATTAAATATTCATTAGACATTCTAAAATAGTCATTTAAATATTTGTAATGCGTTTTAATGACCATGCGCAACTCGAAGTAGGAAGATAAGTAGCCCTGATAAAATTTCAGAACATCTCGGAATTATTCCATAGTTTGTTTGTGCATTCTTCTTGCAAAAGCGGAGTCATGTACCTTGAGCGGCTCCGAATCCAACCAACTATTGCTGGGGTACGTGAGAACTTGTGGATGTTTTTGAGACAAGATCTTTCTCATACAGGAAGATTATTTACGGGAGACCTGATAACTGAAGTGCGTGTCGGAGAACTCGTTAACTTTATTTCCCAAAGTTGGTTTATGTGCACAAAGCACCTAAAAGAAACAATAAAATCCGCTTTTATCTATCAGAAATCAAATAAATCGTTATTGAAAACGGAAGTATTTGCATAACTTTGGTTCAGCTTTAAAAATTGTAATTGATTTCATCAATACGTGAGCCTATTTGCTCATCTAAATCAGATTTTGCAAGAGCTACTTACACAAATTTTTCTGTGTAGGGTTGTTAACTGTAAATTTAACTAATCATTTTCATTACTTAGAATCAATGATTAAGAAATTATTTAAGTCAGCCTCTTTTATTCCGCGGTTCCTCTTTTTATATAATTTGAAAATCTCTTCAAAACGCTAATGTTAACGAGATTTTTCGCACATGATGGAAACATTAATATACTCTGAATATGCTCCCGTTATTGTGCAAGGTAAATTGAGGTTATTATTTTTGAGCTTCGTAATATTAAAAATTTACAGACTCAACCCTGACATTTTTGCAGTTTTTTTGCGATTTATTATTTGCCCCACATGGACTGTTCTTCTGTCGATCCACGGCCGTTAGCAGGCTACGCCATGTACAACATCCAACGTTGCGATCGACTACAGGGATGCTTGCCTATATGGGGACACTTTGGACTTATACCTATTTTATCAGAACGAAAGAGCTGCTTACCTAAGAAATGACCAATAACAAGTGCTATGAATGCCCATTAAATAATAGAATATCCCGGGCCCATTTTAATTTAGAGGGTGATTTATTTTCTTTTTTATCCAACTACCACTTTGAAATTCCTTACAATAAAAATTATATCTCAGGAAATCGTTGAATCTAACCAATATTTGAATGTGTCTGACCTGCCACAAGGAGGGCGAGGATGAAAAGCGCACGGTGCATCATGACACCTAAGGGGTTATTAATTGGTCCCGTTCAGTGCAGTAAAGGGAGCGAAGTACGTGTACAGCGCGCGCATTGCTGGCCCAACGCTGGCTCCCAGTACATGATAGAATAGAATAGAAGTGTCGGCACTGAAGAAATAGGCCCATGGCCTGTTGCCGATTCTTGAACTTTTCGTGACTTGATTCACAAGGGATCCGGCCTTTGGATTCCGTAATTTGCTAGGCATTTTAAGACTGAACATATGCTCCTGCATAGCTTCGTCTAGTCTGTTTTTGAAGATGTTCATACTCGGGGTTTCAACGATGCTATCAGGGAGGCTGTTCCACATGTCGGTGACTCGAAGCGAGAAGAAATGTTGTCGCATGGATGTGTGATAACATGTTCACCTCAAACTAAATCAGATTAGATCAGTTTCCTCCATTATTTTTATTCAGATCAGTTTCATTTTGAAATATACACCGCAGATGCGACGACATCCTTCTTGTTTACAGGACGCAAACATATACGAGCTATACTGACTACAGATATACGACTGAAGTATACCTATTGTTGTCTGGAAGGATAACATAATATCCACAGTTTTATGTCAATTAAGCACAAAAACTTATTGATGTAATTATTCAATGTCCTGAAACCTGTCAATCGATTTAGTTTAATTTCATTTTTTCTGGCTATGAAACTGAGTGAAATATCAATGTACTCTGTGGTAAAAATTCACGAAACTCGCTAACATAAAATTTGCAAATCATCGTCATATGGTCTAGAATATAACAAACCTTTTTTCACAATAAAATGAGTAGCCGTTAATTTTCTTTCAATCAATTTGCGGTTGAAAAACGTAAGTAACTTCTCTTGTTGTTTGCTTGCCTCCCGAAGAGCGTGCTCACGTAGAGCAATGCAGAAAACTCGCTTTACTCACCAAGCCCAACTATTGATAAACACGTGCAACTGCGATGAAAGTTGTTTGTTCCCGTGGAAAATGAAAGCCCTTCAAGTATTTTGTATACCCACTTCTGCTGATAATTTGTACAACAACAACAAACTAGAGTGCGATGATCCTGCAGCATTTTGATCACTCATTTCAGCCAGTCCCTTTTTGCTGCGTCGACATACTCGTATAGTGGAGAAATTGCAAGTAATGACGCTTCTCTGGCATTACTTGGTTGATTTTCGACGTCAGCTCTAAAGATTATGTGATTTTATTCATTGATGAAAGCATCCTATCCTCTCATGTCCGAAGATTGTTGTTCTCATATTGTTGACGCTCCGAGTATGAACGCGTTCAAGAACAGACTAGACAAGGCAATGCAGGAGCATATGTTCAGTCTTGAAATGCCTATGTACCCTACGAAACAACTAAAAGTCTAGGAACGATTTTAAACCTACCGTCCGTTGAAAAGATTTGATCAAAAGGCCAGTCCTTTAGACCTGTGAACTAGTCAAGAAAAGCACAAGAATCGGCGACAGGCCTATTCTTCAACGCCAAAGATACTATACTATACTACTAAAAGATTTTGACCAGTCCGTTCTTCTAACATTCATTTCGATTTCACATAGTAGCAGGTTTTGTGGTTATCGAGAAAAAAAATTGTATTCAACCAAGCAAGTTATGCGATATAATGACTGATACTATGGCGGCTAATGCACCGTTGTATAATGCAAAATATAAAGTCTTTTTGTATTTCAATATTTGTAAGCTTTCAAACTTTATTTAAAAAATGCACTGCCTGTGTGGTGAATGAACTTTTAGTAGTACTGCATTAGTAGTGCTGCAAGTATGTATATGCTACTGATATTCATCAGTTAGTGTGCCAAGAATCAGTACTCTATAAGGCCGTCTTCAATTATGGAAAAAAAAATTGTGACACTTGTTTTGCGCGCTCATCTTTTTTTATCTTCGAGGAGGGCTGATTTACGTGAGCAACGTGCTACCATCAAATTTTGCTTTCTTCTTTGAAAAACTGAAAAGAGAATGTTACAGACAGCCAACAAGGATGATGCTATGGGGAGAACGCAAGTTTTTGAGAGGTTTTCCCATGATGACCAACCTCGCTGAGGTCGTCCTTCCACTAAGCGCATTGAAGGACGTTGAGAAAATTAGGGACCTAATCCCTTAGGGACGACGTAGACGCATTGATAAACTTTGTGGAACTGTCCCAAATTAAATGAGCTCATTGCAGTTAATTTTAAAGCAGGATTTTGGATAACTGATTTATTTTTTCAAATCTGATCAATTTTTTTGTATAGTTACTGGCTTGCATTGTAATGTTATCATCCCTGCGCCAATTAAATGAAAAATGTTCTTGTGATTGATCTTGCGATCACGTGATTCGCAAAGCATGATAATTGTAGTCTTCTTTCTCAACTCAAGACTTAAGTTTCCTGCTAATTTATAGTTTTACCAAAAATTGCATACTGTTGTTTTAGCTGGGTTTCGTAACTAGTTTGCTGAAAAATAAATCGTATTATTAGCACCTTCCAGGAGGAAGAAATTTTCATTTTATTGATTTACATTTGAAATGATATGTTCACTTGGATTACTCGTCGAAAGTTTTGTTCTCGATAAGAGTTCAGCTGTTTCATAAAAAAACACAAAATGAGTGCCAGACACATTTTTTAATGGATATTTTTTCATTACACAATTCCGAACAAATTAATAAATGATCATTTTAACTTTTCAGTAGTATTTTCAAGAGAAATCGTCCATAAGAGAAAAGATCCAGGAGTTATCGGTCAGGTTCCCCGAGAGCCTCTCACTCCTGCTCGGTGAAGCAGGAAGACGTTACAGCGGCTGGTGGGTGATCATGCGGGCGAGGTTGGCGGCGAGCGCAGCGTTGTAGTCGCAACCAACTTCGTTCTGCTCCCAGTTCTGGCGCTCGTCGGTGTAGCCGTCATTCTGATTCAGCGATAGCACCGTAGAGGATGTGGGGGTTAGGGTTGGCTGAATTGCCGTAGTCCCAACCGCATGGGATACCTGGGCCTGGGCACGAGCTGGAGGCAGCAAACATTGTCAACGGTATTATTGGCATTGACATAATTTAAAGCTAATGTTGGAAATTAATAGGCATGCAAAATGAAAATACTTAAAACTTATTTGAACAGTAAATTATAGACTATCAGTTTTGCGCCGTTCTAGTAATAAGTTTTATGCAGTTACAGTAATATTGTAGAATCATGTGTCAAACGTCATCAGTGTTCCAAGACAATCACTCACGCAGCTCTGTGATGGCAGTGAGTCGGCGGGTTGTTGCCCACCCCAACGACGTAGGAGCTGCTTCGGGGGTTCGAGCCTAATGCGTAGTTAATCTGACGCTCGCCAAACTCGTTGTTGGCCGCAGTGTCGAGGCCGAGATCAGCAGCCTGCATGAGGCCCAATATAGTGAACAAAAATCTCTGAAAAACTCATGTATTCTGATTGCAAATATGAATAAGATGAACATCAGAGAGATAGAATTACAAATACTTGCTACTGACTGAATAATTCCGGGAAAAGAACAAACCCATTTCCAGATCATTTCGACCTGGACGTGTAATAAAATGTGCCTAGTATTAGCAAACGCAACGAACATGGCAGACTTCCTCATCCTTTTTCGGCAAAGTTTCACTCACCCTGAATGCGATAAAGCCGTGGTTGAGCGCGTATCTGAGCGACCCCCAGTGCTGGAAGTAGTGCATACCGCCCGGAGTGGTCTGTAAATTCCGCAGTTCAGCAATATTCGACTGAAGGATGTTGAGGTAATTGCCACCCAGCAGCTCAGCGAGCAAAGCCTGCGGTAGAAAAATTTTCGAAAGTAGTATGTGGATACAAATTCTCGTGTGTTTACCAGCAGACCTAGTTAGCTTCGAGTCCACTGTGTCACCGCTGGGAGCTTGCCTCAGAAGCTGAGTCGACAGCTTATACAGCATATGTGTCACGAGGACAAAAACCCGGTGAACGGAGGCACGAAGTCTATAAATGGGCTGGGAACCTTTGTAGTTAGTAAGGCCCCAAAAGTTGACAAATACGCACGTCGCGATGTAACTACCGTTAGAGGAGCTACTCCGGCCTAACGGTCGACGTCTTAGCTTTACCTATATCGTATCCCTTACATATTATCACCCCGTCTAAAGTTCTTTAGACAGATAGTGTCTTACATATCCCTCACGCACTTAGTCAACGAATCGCTGTCCTCAGGTTCAGGTACCAGATATATAATTAGTAAGATGTCGCATAATATAGCGCCTGACAAAAACATGATGCTCTAAATTTATTCATAGACCCTACATACTATAGATACTAGCGTCATAGAACAAAAATGTTATAATTTACAGTACTATTATTCAAAAACATTAGGTTAATATCAATATACAGGGTGCGCCACAGAAACTTACTTATTTGAAAAAATTCCTGTGCGGTTAGTTGGTCGGGTAGAGGGGCGAGAGGGGGTGCATCTGAAGGTAAACAGCCTAAAACGGAGTTTGCTCTAATTATTTTCGTTTGAGGAACGAAAACAATCTAATTAGAGCTCGGAGTTTTAGGCTGTGCTGAGACCACCTCCTCCCCAAACTTCTTTACACGGACAGTGCTACGATTGAAGGCATGCAGACTGCGCATGCTGGCTGTCGCACCACTCAAGGTCAACGGTAGAAAAGCTGCCAAAGGCCGCTTTCTTCCTTTTTCTTTATCGCTACGATTAAATTCGAGGAAGAAACAATCCAAAGATCAAATAGAGCTTTTGAAATGTTAAAAGCAAACAGCCTAAAACTCCGAGCTCTAATTAGATTGTTTTCGTTCCTCAAACGAAAATTTTTGTTTATCTAGGACTTCTATTCGGTAAACTGTTTTATGCAACTTTTTTAGTTTTAGCCTTTATTCTTAAACTTAGAAGAACTCCTCGAGATATTGTGAAAGTTTTGAACTCTATATTTCGTTTCCACGAACTATACAGTGATTCAGAAACCACCAGTAGAATCATTTATAGCTAACCAGTTGAAAGATTCATGGCTCCCCATTAAAATTATTTATAAATCGTTATAGCAATGATCTATAGCGTGCCATTATGAATATTAATATCTCACCAGTATAAAAATTTCTAGCTTACCTGGAGCATCCTGGTCGAGCTTATACGAAGGCCTCGCCATGGTCATATCTTCCGGAGGACCCCACAATGAGTGGTCCAGAAGAGCGTCTCCAACCTGTAAAAAATTTTAACTTCAGCTCGCATTAACATACCACAAATTGGCGAGGCTATCTCCTCTAATCTCTAGAGGACATCAATTACTAGTTCATAAATAAAAAATATGTTATTCCAGAAAGCGGTGACCGACTTAAACACCAATAATATTGTCCAACATAATAACACTTGACTGCAAAATTCGTTATAAGCCGTTCAGTAATGTGTAACAGTATCAAAGATACTATTCAATTTGTTAATAATTTAAATGTTATTTTGACTTCATTACACAAAAGTTGAGAGATTATTTGTTCAAATAGAAAAGACTACTTCAATTTTATTTCTTGTGAGATAATTCTCGAAATTGCGTAAACTTGAGAGCACTCGCAAGATTTTGTTAGCTGACCTGCGCCCAGATGGTGGTCGGGGTCGTATGAGCCTTCAAGATGAAGTCGGTAGCCCACTTGATGGTCTTCTCGAGGTACTGAGTTTGACCTGAGCAAATTCATATCGTATGACATGTCTCTCTGTTATTTTTTTTCCTGAAGACCCAAATTGACTCATGCTATTCTAATCAAGCGTAGCACATTGAGAGAATTTTTCGGGTTTTGCGTTGTGAAAATTTAAATCATCATTTCTTCTCGTCGTCATTGTTTTTACGAGAATCAGACCGATAAACCTTGGCTTCATTGCTACTCACCGGCCTGGACGTATGCCTCTCCGTAGGCGATGTAGCCCCAGGACAAGAAGGTGACCGAAAATGCCAGCGGGAACCCGAACTTCACCAAATCGCCCGCTTTAAGGGATAACTATAATAAGTGAGTCTGTATGTTATATGAGCGAAAAGAGAAATTAAAATACAAGAACAAAATTTTTGGCTTCGTTATATCGTTGAGTATTTGTACATGAATTTCGTAGTTAAAGTCAAACGAGAAGTTATAAGAGTTTTATCGAAGAAGCTTGTCGTGGCGCTTATTAGAGGCTTGTCGTGGCGCAATTCACGTGAGCATTCGTGTTAACGCGAAGGAGTTTTTCACGATGAAGTGCACACGCCGTAAATGGCTGTGCAGACTGCACAAGTGAGCGATATTTTCGGGTATACATAAAGTTTTCCAAGAAATAGAGGCATTCTTTTTTCATCAGCTGTCTGTGAAATTAAACAACTCATTGTTTTCTTCTTAAGATGCGGGCGGACAGTGACTTGCTGAAAAAAATGTACGGAATACATTTTTCGCTCTTTATCTATCTCTAACGTCACTTTGTGAGCGGAAAAGCTTGGGTCGAAACATTTTTAAAATTAACGACAGAGATTATCCTACATGAGTGCACTATCCGACAGAGATTATCCGACAGAGTGCACTATCCGACAGAGATTATCCGACAGAGTGCACTATCCGACAGAGATTATCCGACAGAGTGCACTATTATTGCGTGCACTATTATTACAGAGTGCACTATTATTACAGAGTGCACGACTCAAAATTATTGCGTATTGGTTAACATTATTGCGAATTAGACAACATTATTGTGTATTGATCAACATTACTGCGAATTAGTCAACATTATTGTGTATTGGTCAACATTATTGCGAATTAGTCAACATTATTGTGTATTGGTCAACATTACTGCGAATTAGTCAACATTATTGTGTATTGGTCAACATTATTGCGAATTAGTCAACATTATTGCGTATTGGTCAACATTATTGCGAATTAGTCAACATATTGCCTCAAGCAAACTCCTAGCGTTACTAGCGATAAAATATTTTTATATTTTCGCCTAAAACATGGTACATGCACATTAAAATAAATTTATGATAAATGTATCAGTACAAATTATTCAATATTTTGATAATTTCCTATTCTATACTCTCACGTTTACCGCCCGAGGCTGAGATTCTCACCATCGTAGTAGCCGCCCTCAAGGTTGACGCCGTTGTCAGCGCCATCGTTGAGCGCAGAGTCGCCGCGCCACTCGACGCGCTGGTCCGAGGGCAGGTAGCCCGAGCGGTTCGCTTCGTAGAAGACCAGCGCGTGACACAATAGCTGGAGTGAAAAATAAATTGACATTCATTTATTGAAACGTTCCAGACCAACGAATGGCAAGTATATTTCTAATATTAGAAAATAACGGTCATTACTATTCGTTGGCATTGTTTTTACCGGCCCTAAATCATTATGCAGGGAAGAAAAACGTTTTGTTGTTGTCAGTTGAACTTAACACTTAAAACATTTTATGTTCGAGAGCTTAAGAATAAATAAAACGCCTTGAATTGAAAAAAATATGTTGCCAGCATTTATTTTGATATTTTTTGTCAAAAAATCATTGTCGAATGTTTTTTGTCGAAAGTTTTTTATTTTGTTGATGTTCAAGTCCCAAGAAGGGATTCATTACAACACTTCTCTTTAACTTCACTTCTTGTTTCTTTGTTTGTTTGTTTGTTTGTTTGTCTGTCTGTCTGTCTGTCTGCTACAAATCTTGTAATCGAAATTTAACACACTTCTACTTATCCTATCGATCTGAAATTTGGCACACTTGTGTAAAGTTGGAGACAATGCATGAATCAAATGTCAAAATAAATGATTTTGAAAATTAAAAAAAAAATTTTTCAATATTAAAAAAATTGAAAAAATAATTTTGTCAGCTACAAATCTTATAACTGATATTTGACACACTTTTACCTGTCTTAATTGATCAGAAATTTTGCACACTTGTGCAAAGTCAGAAGCAATGCATGAATCAATTAATAGAATAAATAATTTTGAAACAAATTTATCTATTAAAAAATTATATATTAAAAAGTTGAAAAATTAATTTTTTTAATATATGAAAATTAAATGAGAAATTCATTGTACATCTGTAAGATTGGAGACACTGGATTCTTTTGAAGTGTTGTCTTTAAAAAGTAATTTTTAAACGTATATTATTTTATACTATTAAATCACTCAAAATTACTACGAAGGATAAATTTTGATTCATTATATCAGAGCTAAATCATTCCTGCACAATGCACATTCTACGGTGCCTTCCATCAACTAATAGGCCTTAATATGCCTTCCACGTCATTTTATAACGCTAATAATTTAGTGCTGGGCCCACCTCCCTGTAGTCGTAGGGGGAGCCGCCATGAGACCCGCAGTAACCTACGGCCTCCGATCGGCTGCTCCCTGCAACAATAAAAATTTTTTAATCGTAGCTTCGATGCATCACAGATTTTAGCATATTATCGATCTCTTCACTTACGTGCTTATTGTTTTGCGGCAAATCCTCAACATCGATGAAAAATAATTTAGAATCCACATACCTCTTGTTTCTAAATAAAGTGTTCATATTTGCCTTATTTGTCATTATTCGGCTCTCTATACCTAACGGAATAATATAAACAAGAATCAAATAATTGCCTCGAAGCAACTCTGAGGACGAATAGTGCTCTGTACTTCATCTCAACAGACCTGATGCTGCACCCGTCCAAACTCCTTATTAAATGTTGTGGCAATCCAGCAGCTGCGCTAGCTCCCATACCGTCTCCAATATCGCTGCTCATACCTCAAGAAAAACAGACATGAATTTACTTCATCGGGACCTTTTACTTAAGAGAAGGACACCATAAATGTTTTGTTTAAACATCACGACAAAATATTGTTATCAACTATTGAATCCAGTTTAATTGCACGTGTAACATCGTTACAAGGTTCTGTTCCCTTCCATCATGCAGAAGATTGCTTACACCCATCAAACTGTCTAACAGCATTTGAACCTGCTCCATCCGCTCGCTGTGCATAAGAGATGCCATGACGCTGTCGACTATGTCAACGTGGATGGAGATAAATGGGGCAACTTACGAATATCAAATATATTATGAACCAAACTTAATCGATCCATACACTTTCTGCCTACTGATACAATAAATTAGCCTCAATTGATCGCAATATTTCAAATACAAGTTGGTGCGTACGCGAAATTAGTAATAAATTTAAGTAATATATCAGGCGAACTTGAAAAATTTGATTCGCCATCTTTTGGAAACCTTTATTTATTGCAACAAAATAGTCCACTGTTCCTCAGACAATTTATATCAAGAGCAGTCTGATACATGCCCCATGGCTTGACTTTGACTTGAAAAATTTGTATACAACTTGCTTCTGTTTGTCAGTTTTACTCACACCTACCGATTTCACGCAAAATTTTCGCTAAATTTACTTAAACCAAAATCTTACACACCGAGCACACAGAACGAAGTCACGGTTTCGTCTTGATCCCGTATGACCCGCAACCCATGCAATTACTACTCTCTACGTTGGATATAAATACATTGGCAAATTCCTTCGCGCAGTGCGCAGTTTGGGCAAACGGTTATCGGCGGCTGACGCATTATTTGCCTACAATGCGCCATTGATGACTCAGACCCTATAAATCATCGATGGCTCATCGATGACAGGCACCTGTACTCGCCATCCTCTCGATTAATTGGTGTTTTATAGTCGATTTTTGGCAGATATGGCCGCAAACCGTTACGCCACCTATAATCTACCATCGCCCCTAGTTATCATCGATACACCACCCTTAATTTTTCTTTAGGCGACGCCTAACGAGTTAGTGGTCCCGCTCAAAGCACGCTGGGCTATCGAAATATGAAGCGCGCGCATTGCTGGCCCAACGCTGGCCCCCATTACATGATAACATATTCACCTTAAACTAAATCAGGTGATATCAGTTTCCTCCATTTTCTTTATTCAGATCAGTTTCATTTTGAGATATATACCACCGACGCGACGACATCCTTCTTGAAGGACGCAAACATCATAAGAGTATACAAGCGATACTGATTACAGATATTCAACTGAAGTCTATGGTTGTCATAAAGGATAAAATAATTTATACAATTTTATTTCAATCGATCAGGAAAACTTATTGTTATAATCACTCTTCAAAGACTCGAAGCCTATCAATCGATTCATTTTCATTTTATTTTCCTGAAATTGAAACTTTGAGAACTACCAAAGCACTCTGAGGTAAAAATTCATGAAACATGCTATCATAAAATTTTTCAATCATCATCATGGTCTAAAATATAATAAAAATGTTTTTTCACAATAAAGAGGGTAGCCGTTAATTTTCTTTCAATCAGTTTGCCATTAAAGGTTGAAAAACGTAAGTAAGTTCTCTTGTTGTTTGCTTGCTTGCCGAAGAGCGTATTCACGTATAGAGCAATGCAGATAATTCGCTTTACTCACCAAGCCCAACTATTGATAAACACATGTGCAAGTGAGAAGAAAGTTGTTGGTTCCCGTGGAAAATAAAAGTCTGTCAAGTATCTTGTATGCTTCTGCTGATAATATGTACAACAACAAACTTGAGTGCGATGATCCTGCAGCATTTTGATCACTCATATCAGGCAGTCTCTTTTTGCAGCGTCGACACACTCTTAGGCGAAAAATTAAAAATTGCAAGCAATAAGCCAATAACGCTTCTCTGCCATTACTTGAATGATTTTCGACGTCAGCTCTAAAGGTTATTTGATTTTATTCATTATTGAAATCATTCTATCCTCTAATGTCCAAAGATTTTTACCAGTCTGTTCATCTAACGTTCATTTCGAACCCATATAGAAGCAGATTTTCTGCGGTGGAGAAAAATTCTTTATTCAACCAAGCTAGTTATGCAATGCTGACTGATAATATGGTGGCTAATGCATCGTTATAGTATGAAACAGCTAGAGGAAGTCTTTATGTATTTAAATATTTAAGAAACTTTCAAACTTTATTGAAACACTTGCTTATCCACGACATACGAGGGGCGACCCCGAGAAAAAACCGAACTGCCTGTGTGGTGACGAAGTTTTAGTAGTACTACATTCTCCAAATATGTGCATATGCTACTGACATTCATCAGTTTGTGTGCCAAGCATCGGTGCCCTAGAACGCCGTCTTCAATTATCGGAAAAAAATGTTGAGGCTTGTTTTGTGCGCTCGTCGTTTTTTGATGATGGCTGATCTTCGTGAGCAACGTGCTACCATAAAATTTTGCTTTCTTCTGCGAAAAACTGAGAAGAGAATGTAACAGACAGCCAACAAGGATGATGCTACGGGGAGAGCGCAAGTTTTTGAGAGGTTTTCCCGCTTCAAAAAAAGAGAAATGTCAAATGATGACCAACCTCGCTGAGGTCTTCCTTCCACTACGCGCACTGAAGGACGTTGAGAAAATTAGAGACCTAATCCCTGATGAACGACGTAGACGCGTTGATAAACTTGTGGAACTGTCCCAAATGAAATGAGCTCATTGCAGTTAATTTTAAAACAGGATTTTGGATAAACGATTCTTTTTTCAAATCAGTATAAATTTTTTGTATAGTTAATGGCTTGCATTGCAATGCATTGTAATCCCTGTGACAATAAAATGATAAATATTCTTTTGATTGATCTTGCGATCACGTGATTCGCAAAGTAAATAATTGTAGTCTTCTTTCTCAACTCAAGACTTGAGTTTGTTGCTAATTTATAGTTATACCAAAAATTGCATAACGTTGTTTTAGCTGGGAGGAATTTTCCCAGCTAAAACAACTAGTTTCTTGCGAAATAAATCGTATTATTAGCACCTTCCTGGAGAAAAAATTTTCATCTTATTGATTTACATTGGAAATGAAATGTTTACTTAGATTGCTCGTCGAAAGTTCTGTTCTCGATAAGAGTTCAGCTGTTTCATAAAAAAAAAACACAAAATGAGTGCCATATACATTTTTTAATGGACATTTTTTCATTACACAATTCCTTACAAATTGAAGAATGCTCCTTTTAACTTTTCGGTAGTATTTTCAAGAGAAATCATCCATAAGAGAAAAGATCCAGGAGTTCTCGGCCAGGTTCCCCGAGAGCCTCTACCTCCTGCTCGGTGAAGCAGGAAGACGTTACAGCGGCTGGTGGGTGATCATGCGGGCAAGGTTGGCGGCGAGCGCAGCGTTGTAGTCGCAACCAACTTCGTTCTGCTCCCAGTTCTGGCGCTCGTCGGTGTAGCCGTCATTCTGATTCAGCGAAAAATGATGTTCAAAAGAACATATTACTAGCGATCAAACATCGCTCCAATCTGTGTCGGTGTTCGTATATGAAAACCATTTTTAAGATTATCTCACGTTGGTGGAGCTCAGTTTCTTAGTTAAGATCCCCTCTACGACTACATCATTATTTGCTTGATTTGTTCATTTATACAAAAATTGTATCCAATGAACTTCATTGTCATTCAGTTGTCTATCGGAGTGAATGAATAACAAGTTCGAAAAAATTAAGCTGAAAATTGTCTTGATTGAGTTTAGAATTCACGGCAACTGGTCTCTCACCTGATCAGGTCCCCCGACGAGAGCACCGTAGAGGATGTGGGGGTTAGGGTTGGCTGAATTGCCGTAGTCCCAACCGCATGGGATACCTGGGCCTGGGCACGAGCTGGAAGCAGCAAGCGTTGTCAACGGTATTATTGGCATTAACATAATTTAAAGCTATTGCTGGAAATTAATAGGCAGGCAAAATGGAAATACTCTAAAACTTATTTGAACAGTAAATTATAGGCTACCAGTTTTGCGCCGTTCTAGTAATAAGTTTTATGCAGTTCCAGTAATATTGTAGAATCATGTATCAAACGTCATCAGTGTTCCAAGACAATCACTCACGCAGCTCTGTGATGGCAGTGGGTCGGCGGGTTGTTGCCCACCCCAACGACGTAGGAGCTGCTTCGGGGGTTCGAGCCTAATGCGTAGTTAATCTGACGCTCGCCAAACTCGTTGTTGGCCGCAGTGTCGAGGCCGAGATCAGCAGCCTGCATGAGGCCCAATAAATTGAACAAAAATCTCTGAACATTTCATGTATTCTGATTGCAAATATGGATAAGATGAATTCCAGAGATAGAATTACTAAATACATAGCTACTGACTGAACAATTCTGGGTAAAGAACAAACCCATTTCCAGATCATTTCGATCTGGAAATGAAATAAAATGTACCTAATTTGCAAACGCAACGAACATGGCAGACTTGCTGGAAGTTTCTCTCACCCTGAATGCGATGAAGCCGTGGTTGAGCGCGTATCTGAGGGACCCCCAGTGCTGGAAGTAGTGCAGGCCGCCCGGAGTGGTCTGGAAATTCCTAAGTTCAGCAGCATTTGACTGAAGGATGTTGAGGTAATTGCCACCCAGCAGCTCGGCAAACAAAGCCTGTGGAAGAAAAACATGATGCTCTAAATATAAGCCATATATGCTAGTAATACTATCGTCATAATACAAAAATGTTCTAATAAAAGTATTATTATTCAACGCGTTAGGTTAATCTCAAAATACTATAGCTATTGAAAGTAATTATGAAACAAAAGTAAGGAACGTGAACTTGCTGGTTTTGCTTTCAAGTATTGAAAGAATATCAAACCAATATGTCTTCCCGCCTAATTAATTTGAAAATATATTCTTCGTCGAAAAATGCAGGAAAAATACTCACGATGCATCCAGATTTCTTGTTCTCCCAGCTGAAACTCGCGCCGTACGCGACGTCGAACTCGGTGAAGAGTTGCTCGGCGAGGGCCCTGTAGCTGTCGTCACCGGTGGCGCGGTACAGCCAAATGGCGCCCCATGTCAGCTCATCGCCGTAACCAAAAGTTCTATATGCATGACAAACTATCAACTTTTATATTTTTTGTTATGAAGATATAAAATTTTATAAAATTTCTCTCACTCGTAATTTTATTCGCAGTAATTTACACTTTAATATATTACTCAGCAATAATAAAGTATAATATTAAAATATCATATATGAGCAGTACTATATTACACGTAAAAATCGGCGGCTTCAGGTAGAGAGTTGGTGTACATCTCCCTGTAGTTGTTAGCGAAGTCAAAAAGCTCTTTTGCGGCTTGCAGCAAAGTAGCTGAGTAGCTGGGATTGCTGTTCTGTAAAGTGCAAGTTCAGAATCTGCTAGTTTGTTTCCATTTCTGTACCTAGATCTAATATCTAGTAGAACTAGATTGAAATCGCTGTTCATATCGAAAGTTTTTATAATAGAAGTCATTTCTTTCAATATATTTTCGATATTTCTGATTTTTATACTAATTTTTTCCTCAATGGCACGCCTTTCCGTCGATGAGTTGACTAACCTTAAACACGATGGAAGCTGCTGCAAGTCCAGCAGCTGATTCTGCAGCAACCTCTGAACCTATAGAACCATTACATATTATCATATATCCATCAGATTAAATCAATATTATTACATTTTCTAGCTTTTTAATGCTTGAATTTTAAAATTGATATCATCACTGGTAGTAATTGAAAGTTTGAACCCTTTATTTCGTTGCTAGGAACTATAAAAATTTATAACCAACCAGAAGAATTATGTATAGCTAACCAGTTGAAAGATTCATGGCTCTTCATTACAATGATTTATATCTCACCAGATCAATGATCTATAACGTACTATTTAGAATATTAATATCTCAACAATACAAAAATTTCTAGCTTACCAGGAGCATTCTGGTCTAGCTTATACGAAGGCCTCGCCATTGTCATATCTTCCGGAGGTCCCCACAATGAGTGGTCCAGATCACCGTCTCCAACCTGAAAAAATCTTAACTTCAGCTCGCGTGAAAATGACACAAATTGGCGAAGCTATCTACTCTAATCTCTAAAGGACACAAATACTAGTTCAATAAAATAAAAAATATTCTATTTTAGAAAACGGTGACCGATTCGAACACCAACAATATTGTCCAGCATAATAAAACTTGACTGCAACATTCGTTGAAAGCCGTTCAGTAATGTGCATAACAATATCAAAGATATAACACATAAGTTGAGAGAATATTTGTTAATATGAAAAAAATATTACTTCAATTTTATTTCATGTGAGTTAGTTCTTAAAATTGAGTAAACTTGAGAGCACTCATGAGATTTTGTTAGCTAACCTGCGCCCAGATGGTGGTCGGTGTCGTATGAGCCTTCAGGATGAAGTCGGTAGCCCACTTGATGGTCTTCTCGAGGTACTGAGTTTGACCTGACAATGAGAACACCGCATATAAGGGGGATAATAATTTTAAAATCTATGTTTTCGAATTTTCAGTCAGTGACATATTTTTATGTTATTTTATTTCCTGAATAACTTTATGTTATTTTCTTCCTGAATAACTTTTTCCAGGTTTTGCGTTGCGAAAATTTTAGTCGCCATCATTGCTTCGCGTAGTCATTGTTTTTTACGAGAATCAGACTGAGAAACCTTGGCTGCATTGCTACTCACCGGCCTGGACGTATCCCTCTCCGTAGGTGATGTAGCCCCAGGACAAGAAGGTGACGGTATATGCCAGCGGGAACCCGAACTTCACCAAATCGCCCGCTGTAAGGGATAACTATAATAACTGAGTTTGTATGATATATGAGGGAGGAGCGGAATTAATATACCAGAACTAATTTTTCGGCTCCGTAATAACGTTAGCTATTTTTTACATAAAATTCTTAGTTAAGGTTAAACGAGATGGTAGAACGGTTTTTTTTAGAAGCTTGTTGAGGCGCTTATTATAGAAGCTTGTCGAGGCGCAATTCACATACGTGAGCATCGTGTTAACGCGAATGAGTTTTTCACAATGAAGTGCACACGCTGCATGTCAATGGTTCTGCAAACTGCACACGTGAGTAATTGTTTCGGATAAACATAAAGTTTTCAGTTTTCCAAGAAATAGAGGCAATCTTTTTACATCAGCTTTCGGAAAGTGACTTGCTGAAAAAATGTATGGAATAAATATTTTTCTCTTTATTTATCTCTAACGTAACTTCTGTGAGCGAAGAAGCTTGGATGGAAACATTTTTAGAAATTAACGATAGCGTCTACATCCTACATTTGACTTCATTGCTGCCTCAAGCGAACTCGTAGCGTACTAAATGTATATATATTTTCGCCTAATACATGATACATGCACATTAAAATAAATTTATGATAAATGTACCAATATAAATTATTAAATATTTTGATAATTTCAAATTCTATCCTCTTTACCGACCAAGGCTGAGATTCTCACCATCGTAGTAGCCGCCCTCAAGGTTGACGCCGTTGTCAGCGCCGTCGTTGAGCGCAGAGTCGCCGCGCCACTCGACGCGCTGGTCCGAGGGCAAGTAGCCCGAGCGGTTCGCTTCGTAGAAGACCAGCGCGTGACACAGAAGCTGGAGTGAAAAACAAATTGACATACATTTATTGAAACGTTCCAGACCCACGAACGGCAAGAATATTTCTAATATTTTCAGAAAATAACGTTCATCACTTTTCATTGGCATTCAATTTTTTTATTACCTGTCATATATCCTCAGCGAAGGCAAAAAAGTTTGTTGTTATAGTCAATGTGAGTTGTGCATGACACTTAAATAACTTTATGCTCGAGATTTTAGGATTAAATTGAACGCTTTAAAGTGAGAAGTAATATTTTGTCAGAGTCTATTTTGCAACTTTCTTCAGTATTTATTTGCAAATTTGTTGTCAAAAATTTTTGTCGAATGTTTTTTGTCGAAAATTTTTCATTTTGTTGATGTAAGTCCCATGAAGGGATTTATTATATACTATCATATCCCGAAAAATTACTACAAACGACAAATTTTGATTCATTATATCGCAACTAAATCATTCGTTCACAATGCACATTCTACGGCGCCTTCCATCAACTAATAATATGCCCTCCACGTCATTCTATAACGCTAATAATTTAGTACTATAGTCCCACCTCCCTGTAGTCGTAGGGGGAGCCGCCATGAGACCCGCAGTAACCTACGGCTTCCGATCGGCTGCTCCCTGCGACAATAAAAATTTTTTAATCAAAGTCTTGATGCATCACAGATTTTAGCATATTATCGATGTCTTCGCTTACGTGCTTATTGTTTTGTGGCAAATCCTTAACATCGATGACAAATAATTTAGAATCCATATACCTCTGGTTTCTAAATAAAAGTGTTCATATTTGCCTTATTTGTCATTATTCGGCTCTCTATACCTAACGGAATAATATAAACAAGAATCAAATAATTGCCTCGAAGCAACTCACCTGCCACGAGGAGAGTGAGGACGAATAGTGCTCTGTACTTCATCTCAACAGACCTGATGCTGCACCCGTCCAAACTCCTTATTAAATGTTGTGGCAATCCAGCAGCTGCGCTAGCTCCCATACCTTTATCGATATCGCTGCTCATACCTCAAGAAAGACAAACATGAATTTACTTCATCGGGACCTTTGTCTAAAGAAAAATATACTAGATGTTTTCTTCCTACACCACGACAAAATATTGTTATTAACTATTGAATACGCGCAAGTACGTATATAAACACGTTAAACATCGCTACCAGGTTCTTTTTGCATTCCATTAAAAGATTGCTTACGCACCATTAAACTGTCTAGCAGCATTTGAAAATTCAAAATGAAATCATACCAGCTGATGGGGTTTATACAAATTATACTTTGTAATAAATAAATAATATATAAATGAGTTCCGCTGTCGGAACTTTCAGGTATATAGCTACATTTGAATCGAAACAAATTAATAATTTCTTATGGAGCAGCAAATTTATTACATATTTATTAATAGTTTTACTATAGCGAGCAAGAAGTGCCATTGAACCTTGATGTGCTGTTCATATTTATTTGCGTTTATGCGACAAAACGAGAAATTTAATCAGTTGCATGTCAAAATTTGCTACATCAAGAGAAGGAAATAAAACCAGCTTTATTGCGAGCCATTGAGGAAACTAAGTTTCTCGGACAATTTAAATTCATTCATTAAAGCTCGGCGTACTGATTTATTAGGACCTCGAGCTCTATACTCGTCTGAAAGAGGTTCGTCCTAGGGCCCCGTAAGAACCTTGCGTGACGCAGCTTTACCGGCAACTCGGAAATAAAACTCAAGTGAGTCCGTTTATGAAAATTTGTGTACGATTAGGTAATAAATTGTCCTTAGTCAACTAAATTTGCTTGGTATAAGAGAAAATGATGGTATAAATTCAGCAGGCTACTTTTGTTGACTCATTTTCAAGCCTTGAAAAACACGGCATGTGGCTTACAAGATAAGAGAGTGCACCGAACAGCTGGACCAGTTCGTCTCTCACTCATACCTATGTATAAATCTGAATGCATCAATAACAGCGTTTGTCCAAATAATGATGAGCTTAATTGAATCGTGCGCACTTACTTTTGTTCGAAGATTCACATAATGAGGTCCCGCCCGATAAAAAAAATATAATATGAAATTGGATGAAATGCTTAGGGAAGGTTTGCGTGTAATAAGGGCCTTAACTTTTGTATACAGGGTAAATTCGCAAAAATTAAGTCATCGCGACATTTTTTTTGGGTGTCGATAAACTGTCCCAAATGCAATGAATTCATACATTTTATTTCCATCAATTCTTAATGATGGAATGGTATCATTTGTATGTAGATTTTTTGTTTCAACCGCTGTCTTCTATTTTCGCTACTGTCCTTCGTCTTGCTTTCATACAATTATCAGTCACGAGAGTCGCACGTGAGTGTTCTGCTCCCTCACTGCGAGATAACATGCGTGATAACCAGCAGGTAAATTGCATCAATAATACTTTCACAGATTAGGATGTAATGAAGTCGAAAAAAAATTACATTTAATGAATTAGCATACATTGGGCAGAATATCGGCTGATGTCTTTCGTATGCAATTAAAATTTGGGCCGTACTGGCAGTAGCAAGTGAGGACTTTACTGAGTCACATCTTCTGGGCTCATTGAATTAATCAACTACTTTGTAATAAATAAATAAAATTTTAAATAGGATCTTACTATTCAATATGACGGATCATATGTTGAACTGCCCAGTGATGGTGTGACGTGGACTGTCCACCTGAACCCTTAACTTAGCTCAGACCAATTGTCGCATTTAGGACCAGTGGTGCCTGCCAGTTTATTACGTATTGTTGATGTAAGTAGCGCGTCATCTACGCTACTCTTTAATTAGCGTCTTGAGTGCCTTGCCATAGAATTAGTCAAGTAAATAATTGTATTTGTTTATACCATCACCATTTTCATGGTAAACATGAGTTCATGGCGGTAGTTAAAATGGTCCTTTTCATTCTAGACTGTAAAGTAGCTACCAAAGGCGCCGATAACCTCGCCAGCAGCACTCAAGTTGACGGCCTTCAATGGAAATTATCTATTTTATAAACAAAACTAAACCACATTTTTCTAGCGAGATCAAAACAGCTTCGTAGTCATCATGTGGGTATCGAACCCTACAAATGGTAATACTGCCTATTTTACGGGGTTTAGTAACGAGCGGCGAGGTATGTGCAGTCTGCAAGTGGCGACTTATGACGCTGGTGATAGATTCCACGCCAACGAGTGAAGGCATGCATCATTTCACACTGTTATTATAGTATCTTCGGCATTGAAGAATAGGCCTGGATAGGCCTGTCGCCGATTCGTGTATTTTTCTTGGCTAGACTGGCCTTTTGATCAAATCTTTTCAACGGACGGTAGGTTTAAAATCGTTTAAAGATTTCAGTTTTTCAGTACTATTGCTTGCTCAGACAGAAATTAAAATGTGAAATATGACATGTTTAACATATTCTGTGACATATTTAAACTTTTTACATCATTTGCTTACTCTCTAAATTATTTCGAATTAGTTGGAAGTTGTGTTGCAAATAATTCCACTTTACAAAATTATTCATACCTTCTAAGTAAAAGAAGCTTGCGAATGGGTAACTATGTTTTTTTATAATTTAGAATTTCTAATTTGAAATGTTGATATCAATGTTTCTGCGAGCTCATTCACCTATTATATACCAATATTTATTCATTTCGTACATGAATGACAACTGGGAGATATATTTTGAAACGTCAAGTGTGTTATTTGAATCACGTTTGCTAAAAATCTATTGTTTAATAGTGTGTGTTCAGAATATTAAAATCTGTCGCGATTTTAGGTGAAAACATTCCTAATAGCACCTTTGAGTAGAAGATTTGAAGAAATTTAATTTAATTGCCAAACTCAACACCTAAGTTCATGTTTCTGTCCGTGGGTAACATGCGGGAGGGCATAACAGCCTATATCAAGACAAGTGCTTAAAAGCATAGCGCCTCATGTTCACAAACATCTCATGAGTCTGACCTCTGCATCTAGCTTTACTTATTTGAGCCTAACCAACTTGTCACCAAGTACTAGCTCCTTTGTACCACAGAGTACGTCGCGTGAAACACTTCACTCTTCTCCGTATTGGACGCACGAATCACCTGTGGTCAATTGACCTTCTCACGAGAAGCGTGCTTGTTCCTTATTGCATTTACTGTATTATAGATCCAGGCAGTTTTGCCTACGAATGCACATCTTTTATTAATGCCCATTATAATTTTCCCTTCATTTACGCAGAATTTATGTTCATTACTGAAGGCAATCGTGTTCCCAGCTGTAAGTAACATGTTCACCCTAAAATTTTCGGATTTGGCATTTTCGGTTTTTAGTATCATCTTAAAGCTGACATTCTGCCCTATCGAACGGTACCATTGCGATCCCTGTACGTGAATTTTTACTTACATGACGGCTCTTTAAAGGAGGGCGGGTAGTGGAGTTCCTTCACTAATTAGATACAAGGTAATTAGCTACTGAGTATTTTAAGTATAGTTTCTACTTGAGTTGTGCTGCAGTTACGTGCTTAGTCTCATCTTAAAGCTGACATTCTTAGCTTTTCAACGATACCACTGTGATCCATGTACACGAATTTTTACATACACGGCTGCTCTTTAAAGGGGGGCGGGGGATGGAGTTCCTTCAGTAAATAGATGGGAGGTAATTCACTCGCTAAGACTACATATATAGGTGTATCTGGCATCAAGGCTCAGTCACCTTGTTCGCTTCATACGGAGAGGTGTACTGCAAGTCGCTGCTAGCATCCTTGATGGAATTAAGCTACAAAAGCCTGTAGTTTGGTCTCTATGCTACATTGAGTGACTATTTCAAGGCGCGCGGAACTTTGTCGCGCTGTCCTGAAAAGTTCAACTTTTTGTCACGGAAAACCTATCTCTTCCTAGAGTTTTGAAGCTATAGCGATGAGACATATACCATTCTATTTGTAAAGACCATACCTATTGAGTAACGAAGCCTTTTTTTAGATTTGTGCATAGTTTAGATTCAAATGGGGGGAAAGGGGGGGGGGGAATGAGAAAAAATGGAAAAATTTTGAATGCGTAAAAAAAAAACTAATACAAAAATCAAATATCGGGCTTCGTTACTCGATTGGTATGGTCTTTACGAATAGAATGGTATATGTCTCATTGCTGTAGCTTCAAAACCCTAGGAGGAGATAGATTTCTACAGTACCCCTTTTTTTATCCGTTTTCTATGAATTTCAAGTTTTCTATCAATTTTTCCGAAAAATCACACAAACAAAAATGTCTTAGAATTCTGTTTTACATATGTGTACCAAGTTTCAGAGTGATCCGTCCGTAAACAAAAAAGTTTTTCCGGAGGGTGAACCTCCCCCTTAAACGTGCTGGGTAACTCCTTGCTTGTCTGCCATTTCTCCCGAGTTCAGACAGTTTGGCTACGGGCTCGAAAGGATGACGTCACGGCACCGAATCGCCAGATGCATTGTGGGATCGGCCGCCATATTTGTAGCAGGGACTAGCTTTCGCCTGTGTGTTAAATCTACTGCGATCGTCTCTTTTTGAAGTTTTTGCTTGAAGATGGGACGCTACTGCACCGTTATAGGATGTACCAGTCGTTCTCACGGCCATTTAAACAGAAAACTATACAAAGGAAATCGTTTATTCAGTTTACTAGCCGTGAATGCCGTGTATATCGTATCAGTTTATGGCTCGTATTGATATACGTATCGCATATCAGTTCACCCGCCGTGGTGAACTATACATTTTCCAGGGGCAAAATCTGTTACTAGCCACTGGGCCACCTGTTGGTGGCCCAGTGGTTAAAGTTCAGAGTACCAAGATTGGCGCAGAGAGGCGCGGGTTCGATCCCAGCTCTGTGCGCCAGTTTCTGGTCAGAATCGGCGAGGAGGCCGGGCGGTTAAGCATAGCAGAATATTGTAGCAGTGAGTTGCGAGTTCGAGACCGCAAAATGCTGTGAATGTTCTGCGATGTTAAGAAT